TCCCTGCTACTCAACAACGACACAAATCTCACCAAATACACGACGCTTCAAATTAAAAGTATACTGGAACTCATCGATTTATGCCTAACAACATATTTTCAATTCAACAACAAAATCTACGAACAAACAAAAGGGACACCAATGGGATCACCAATATCAGGACTGATCGCAGAAGCAGTGATGCAAAGACTAGAAGCCACGATATTACCAGTGATCAAGCCAAAAGTTTGGATTCGCTACGTAGACGACACCTTTGTCATCGTCAAAAAGGATGAACTGGAAAACACATACAAACTGATCAACAACGTTTTCAACGACATCAAGTTTACAATGGAACAGGAGTCAAACAATCAAATAGCATTCTTGGATATATTGATCACTAGAACCGATACAGGAAAACTGGAAACTCAAGTATACAGGAAACCGACCCATACAGATCAAATCCTCAATTACAACAGCAACAACCCAAGAGCTCACAAAATCAACTGCGTACACACATTGTTCAAGAGGGCGAGGACACACTGCAACACACTGGCAGCACGGAAAAATGAAGAGAAATACCTGAGGGACATATTTCAAAAGAATGGCTACCCAATCAACTTCATCAAAAAGCACCAACGGCACACAGCATCAGAACCCAAATCAAGCACAAAAATCAACAAAAGGATCACCCTACCGTACATACAAGGAATATCAGAAACCACAACGAGACTGCTGAAAACCTTCGGGATAGGTGTGGCACACAAACCAACAAAATCATTACAATCGATACTATGCAAACCAAAAGATGAAATAACAAAGGAAAACAAATCAAACATCATCTACAAAATAAATTGTACCAACTGCGACAAACACTACATCGGACAAAGCGGACGCCCCCTCCACCTACGCCTACATGAACATCAATTAGCAGTCAAACGCCATGATATCTCTTCACTTATATCAATACACGTGGATAACTACGGACATTCATTCGATTGGGAAAATGTAGAAATCTTAGACAGAGGAAACTCCAAAAACACCAGAGAATTTTTAGAAGCTTGGCACTCAGGTCAATCAGCAATCAACAAACATATTGAAATCAATCCAATTTATCAGCCAATCAGGAAAATCATGCATAAATATAGGAACAAAAATCAAACCAATGGGAGACACAACCAAAACAAAGAAGTAAACAATGATAAATTTAAGGTCAACAAGAACCAATCAACATCGAGGTGCACAGAACAAGCTGTGAAACACATATGGAGAAATTCGAACACTTCACTTCTATCTGAATTTTGTGCTGATGATGTCGTTCAGAAGAACGATGAAAGCTCCACGACTAAACCATCCAGCTCAGAGAACAAAACACCACCAAAAACAGGAATATAATATTTATGTAGAAGCATAGAAAGACGAGTAAGTTTTAAGATAGTGAAGATTTATAGTTCAGGTGGATGATTTTGATGGAGTTTTGTTCTTTGAGCTGGATGGTTTGGTCGTGGAGCTTTCATAGTTCTTCTGAACAACATCACTGATGTCAACCAAACCATCCAGCTCAAAGGACAAAACTCCATTAAAAAGAAAAAGTTTTAAAAATGTTGACTACAAAAATGAATCAAGTACAACACTTAATCTTTAGACCAACGCTGTTAATGTCTTACTTCAACCAGTCCCCCTTCTGATAATAAGATTTTTGTCTAGCTGATAGAAATGTTTAGTGTATACTATTTACGATGAATATAATTAATGAAAACCGGATTCTAGGTGATTACAGAGTTTCACAGCTGTTATCCTTATAACTTCGTATATATTTAATTGGAATGTTACACTTTAAGGTTCCATTTAAAAATGGTTCATTTAAATAACTGGATAGCTTTCAGTTGAATTATAAAAATATCTTTTCATTCTGAGTGTTTGTCATAATACTGAATTATTTGTCTTACTTCCTACACAAGTCATGATGAATGAACTTTATTAAGTTTTAATGACTGAAACAGCATTGGTAACTGTCCACTGACTAAATCGTTTATTCATTCTAATCTTATTAGTAAATGTCATTGAGCTCGATATTAAATACCAGAAGCCTCGTTCAAAATCATACATACTATTAGAAGATTCTTATCATGAGGAATCTAAATGAAAAATTTATGTACTGCATACATTTCGGTCACCCACCAGTTCAAGCCTAACCTTTCAGTGCATAAAAAGTATATTCAGTCCTTCATTCTTCCGTGGTCTTAACCTCTATTTCTATCCTCCATAACCCACCATTTTTAAAAAAATTTCTCCCACTTCTTATTTCCACAAGTATTAATTAGGGATGATTACAACATTGAATTATTCTATTCTTAACAGCTATCAAGTCGACACTTATCATCACCTTAACAATTTCTTACTAGCCAGTTATAACATAACCTCATTTTGATATCTGATTTTCGTGTACAATACATGACACAACACCACTTTAAACTTTTTAATTTATACAACACTATTCTATTCTACTATAGACCACTATTTCTAATAAATAAATTAACTACAAATATATCTATACAGCTTAAGTGAATGAAATCGTCCAAAATAAGATTTTCTTCGCTAAACTATTGTCATTCTTCTGAAAACGCAATAAGTTTGAATGTTGACTTAATGTTAAATACGTTGATGTTGTGAACGCTTTGTATTTTTGACGACGAACAAAACTTAAACTAAAGTACAGATTATTAAATCGTACCAAACTTAACAAGAAGTTATTACTTCATTCTATATAAAAGATGAAACTTAAACTGAATTATTGTTTAATAAATAAGAATTTTCGTCTCAATTTGAACAAATAGTTTCACAATATTTGGGCACCGGGTTAATGTGAGACATTAAAGAGGAAGAATGTATTTGAAAATTCTCAGCGAAAGAATTTGAAGTAAATCCTTGAAAAAGCTTGGATCAGATTGCCAGGTGAAACGTTGGATTTACTTCAAATTCTTTCGCTGAGATTTTACAAATACATTCTTCCGCTTTAATGGATTATTATTTGTTTGCAAGGGAAGGTAGGTATGCGTGTAATAAACATTAAATTGTATGGTTTTATCATTTTATTTATCTCTGACATACAATATTATTCTTATCAGTCCATTATCAATTTTAATGAACATTTATGATTAAAAAATCTTTTTATTATATTCCTATCGAAATACCTTTGTTTTTAAATGATTATTCCCTGTTTTAGCTTTAATCAACTATACAAATACCATGTAATTAGATACAAACCTACATGTACAGTATAAGTTGATTCAATGAAAAATAGAAAAAGCTAAAAAAAATACACGATAAAGACTGATTTTTTATTTAGATATATATATTACTTATAACTGTAATGCAGTATTGTAAAATACTAATCAGAAAGGTAATGATAACACTTGTTAGCTAATTATTCAACAATTAAATATAATTATTGAATAATCATTGTATATCAGTAAGGAATCTAATATTAATTGTTCCTTAATAATATATCTGTGTCAGTAACCACCTTTAATTAAATCTATAGTCAAACTTAGATTACTACAGTCACCCAACTAACAATATAACGAATAATTAAAATAAAAACCGAGAGATTTCAGTAAAGTCATATATTTTAATATGGTTACTATCAAAGTTCACGCTTAAATAATCCATTTCTATTTCTTTTATTGATGTATAGAGAAAACTATCTTGTTTGTTTAACTTGTATCGGGAAATAGCAATGTGATAATTAGACAACAATTTATTTTTTTCTTTCTGAAATCCAAATTTTTTGGAAATGATTCTTTTTGTAAACAATGATGGATAGTGGCTAGCAGTGGAATCCAGGACTCGCGTTTCGTCCTATTTAGGGCTCGTCAGCTGGATGAGCCTGAATCTCAGAGTCGATGTTCACTCTGGGACTCGAACCCAGTACCGTTCGCTTCAAACGCCATCGCGTTATCCACTCAGCTACTGAGTCCTCTGAATTAAAGTAATATCAAGGCATACGCACAGTATGCACATATGCCAATAACAGACTGATCAATTGCAGTCTTAAACCTCGATGGGAAGATACAAGCCAAAACAATACCAAGTGAATGATTCTTTTTTTTAAAACTTATCGACGTAATTAAAAAACATGAACATAGTCATATCCGGATGAGAATAAATGAATGGTAACCGTTAGAAATTACTTATGGACTAATATTATACGTATATTCTTACTGTATGACTATTAAATGACTATATTATATGCATATTCATATTTTTTTCGTTATAAGCTTTTATTTCACCTATGAACTATTATCATACGATTTACTGTTCATGAGATATTCCCAATCTATTGATAATGCTTTCTCACAATCACTTTTTGGCTTAATTTTGTACAAATTTTATTTTCTATTTTATGGTGTGGTGTGGTCTGATTTGTTTGCATATAAACTAAGTATATTTGAAGTATACGATTCGTATCGTGGAGGCTGAGATTGGCATTCTGAACTTAACAGGCAGGACAAGGCGGAAATAGGACCCATCGGAACTTTAGGCCACCCGTACTGGTATATGCGTCATTATTTTGGTCGTATAAGTCAGTTTATCCACATTTCGCAATCGTAATCGCGATAATCGTATAAGCTAATGACATTACAAACATGAAAGACTTCTTGTGAACAAAATGACTGATTCAACATTACTTATACAAATCAGTAATGGATACCCATTAAATCAATAAAACTGAAAAAGTAACTAATTCGTATCTATTCTAGTTGTTTTAAGTTTTTCATTGTTAAATTCATTAACTCAACAAATAAATCATTTAAAAATCATTATTCCTGGTATTATCATATTTATAGATAATAGAACCATAAAATACATTTGATACAAGTTTAGTGAATGAAAACATTATGAATAGCTAAACAACCTTTCAATTTGAAGTCTGTGTGACTGACTGAGTTAATTTACCATGGGTAGAATAAGATTTTATTTTAATTCGTGGTCTCAATTCATAGTTATTTAACAGATACATGTTTTGTTCATCTTTTACAGCTTATAAAATGAATCCCAATCCAGTTTTACAACTTGAATTGTACGATCCGCCAAACAATCTAAGCATACCAATTAATTCAACTCTATATTTAAGATGTCAGGTTCCTGTTGAACCCAAACAAACTGATAGTATCTATGTAATATGGAGATTTCGACATTCACACAAAGATCCGGCACCAAATATTTGGAGTTTCATTCACAAGGATGATGATTTAGCCAGATGTCCGGAACCACCTAACAAATGTGAATTCGTTAATCAGTACAGTGTATTTAATAAATTCAATCAATCGCCTTTTAATAACCCAATTGCAACTAATAAATTGTCTGCAACAAATGATATTGAACTTATTCAAAGAAGGCAGTTATTTACACTTACATTAACTAATTTACAATCAGATATGAATGGATTATTTCAGTGTCAGACTTTAGTAAATTTAGATGCATATGATAAACGTGGATACTTAAATATTCTAGGTAAGATAGGAACATGAATTTAGTCTTTATATCTATTCATATAAATGGATGGTTTGTAATGTTGTATTGATTTGAGAATATCAGCTGAATTTTCGCTGAATAGATTGCAGATAGTCCTGAAATGCTGTAAGAGATGTATATATTTGACTACCGAATCAAAGCACTTTCCCCAACCCTACTCAGTAGTAGCCAGTTCAAGGTGGGTTTATATGAGCCTCAAATTAAGAATATGGAGTATGGAAGTGACAGAATGTTAAACTGTAGAAAACGGTATGCTAATTAAAGGGAAAAAGCGACCTAAGAGCAACTTAATACTGACATAAAGTAAAGGTCCCGCTTATTATTAGCTGACTAAAGGTAGAATTATGAACCAGTGGATTCCGATTTAATGGTCTAAATTTAACACACTTACAGAAGTTTCTGTGGATTGTAGGTTCGATTCCTAATGTAATTCATCAGTCTGAGGAGCTCTATGCTAGAATGAAGCAGTTACCTCATGGTTTCTTGTTTAACCAGTCTGTTTTGAAAAAATTTTCATATGGAACTAATGTCCATAATCCACTCCACTATATATATATATATATATATATATATATATATATATATATATATATATATATAAACAAGTTTTATGTATAATGACACACAATTATTGAATCTAGTTACTCGCATATAGCATGATAATTGTTGATCAACTGAGTTGAGAGAGAGATTTTATCTTAATGTCACTAAAAATAATAACAATAACAATAATAATAATAATGTATATATAATGTACATTTCTATTAATGTAGTCAATGTACTTTATTTCCTCTCTGTTTTTATGAAAAAATTAATGAATATCATGTGGATAATAACATTTAACTAAATTATGGAGAAATGATTATTTCTATCCCAAATTACTACAATTTTGACTACTTATATGACTAGTATTCATTACCAATGAATACTAGATCAATATGCTTATAGAACTAATTAAAATATAGTCGTTTTTCACTTGTCATCACTCTGAAAAATGACAATGAAGACGACGACGACGATGACGCAAACAGCAACAAGTGCTACTACAATTACTACTCGTGTTAAAGTCATGGATATAAGTCATTTCTTTATTAAACGATGTAATAACAATAACAATAATAATAGGTATACATAGAAGTGACAACTAAATAAAGTTATGGATAAAGCAGCGTTTCAAGTAGCTTTTATCACAGATTATCAACAGATCAAGAACTTTTGAAAACCAAAAATCAGTAGACAATTGCTTCGTTTTGGCTAAGAATTTCCTAACAGTCCACGCTATTTGAAATTAATTTCACTGATTGTTTTATTTCCAATCGATTTATATCATGGTCGACTGTATTGTCAGAATTGGTGTTTTTGAAGATAAGAAACTCAATACTTATAGAAGCTGCATATCATCTTAAGTATATCATCTACAAAAAGATGGCTAACTCTTTTACACTAGGTTTCAATGTCTCTAGCTTAACCACAATAAACTCTGGAATTCTTCAGATACTTTCAAAAGCTATTTAGAATCAAGCATAAGGATCATATATATGCCCAGCATAATTCAAAGATGGTATTTTTTATTATAAGGGCATTGATACATGAGTATGATACAGTCGATGAGAATGAATGAAGTGGATAAATAAGTGAGCCTAAGTATTTATGAGCATAATTAGTCGATATCTTAGACTATAAACACTAAACAAGATGTCATAGATTGATATTGAATGGGGTAATTGAAATATGAGCTATTTTTGCCATATTAACCGCTGTTCCGGGTGGAAGAAACAATGATTAGTATCACCTGAAGTCAAATAAATACGATGTAAAACAGTTTCTGATAAATGTTTCACTTATGTGTACAACACAAAATAACTCTAAGAAAATATCAACGAACATAAAAAAAGGTACGTACAAATATACATTTAAATCATTTGGATTCAGATTTCTGATTTAGGCTCAGTAGTTCAAGTGTAAGTCAAGAAGAATTAATTGATCTGATTTTCTGTTTAAAGCAGCCGAAACTTATGACGTAACTATTGCATATCAGTAAACAGTTAAATTACTGCAATGATGCAAAATTTTATTTTTGCGGTAATTTTGGATGAAATATACTATAGAAATTAAAGCCGCTTACACTAGTAAGTTTTAAAATTTAGTTTCTGAATATTTTTGGCTGATCATTACTGTAGTCGTAGAGAAGCAAGATTAAAGGTACCTAAAATAACCCTGTCATTGAGTAAACGAATATTTTGTTACTTCAGTATTAGAAAAGTGATTCAACGGACTTTATTTCTGTAAAACTATAAGTATAAATTGTTTGTCAGCTTTTTATAAAAGTTTCATGCTTCTAGGGTTCAATCGATCACGTTGTAAACGTGTATCTGATAAGTTTTTCTACTTATTTTCATTGTTAAATACATTTGTACAGTTTGTTTTTATTTACAGCTCCTCCACAGCATCCTTTGGAAATAGTAAGAATCGATGATACTATGCCACCAGATACTGAAATATTCAATTATTCAAAGAATTTGGAAAAGACGTTTTCTATTATTAGTGGAAAATTATATTATTTCAGTTGCCTTATCACTCATGCTAATCCCAAACCGGTTGTAGCCTGGTTTATTCGATATTCTAACGGCGAGATTCGGGAACTTGTTACATTTGATAATTTAAATTATAGTAAACAATTATGGAAACCATTTTCAAATTATGTGGATACACAGACATCTGATATTCTAACTCATGAAGATGATGGTACATTTTTAAAATGTTCAGCTACAAATTCTATGGGTTTAGCATCTTCTGAAGAAGTGAACTTAAATATTGAATGTAAGTTTAATTATCTATGTATAGTCTGATCACAAAACAAGTAGACTATTTGAAATCAGATGAATAGGGTATATCATTTACTTGCTTCATTATATACATAATCCATAAAGTTCACTCATTCAGGGAATGATACATTATTAAATGGACTATAATGGGTACAATTCACCTTCTTATGAACTTTAAAAGAAATCTATCGAAATGTAATTTGTGATAGAATTCATGGTTTTAATACATAATCAGATAAATACTTACTCATCCAAGAAATAAGATAAATTTCAAGCTACATAAGTGAATGGCTTAAAAATAATCTGAATCATTCAAACATGATTGGAAATCATGTAAGAATAATGATATTTAGACTGAAATACAAACTTACTTACCTACGCCTGTTACTCCTAATGGAGCATAGGCCGCTGACCAGCATTCCCCAACCCACTCTGTCCTGGCCCTTCTTTTCTAGTTCCATCCAGTTCTTCTTCATTTTTCTCATGTCTGTCTCCATTTCTCGGCGTAATGTGTTCTTTCGTCTTCCTCTTTTCCTTTGGCCTTCAGAATTCTATGTGAGAGCTTAGCTTGTGACGCAATTCGGTGCCTTCCTCAATGTGTGTCCTATCCACTTCCAGCGCTTCTTCCTGATTTCTTCCTCCGCTGGGATCTGGCTTGTTCTCTCCCACAGTACGTTGTTGTTAATAGTGTCCGGCCAACGAATCCGAAGTATTTTGCGTAGACAACTGTTAATAAACACCTGTGTCTTCTGGATGATGGCTTTCGTAGTTCTGAAGGTTTCTGCCCCATACAGTAGAACTCTCTTGACATTTGTATTGAAAATCCTGACCTTGGTGTTGGTTGACAGTTGCTTTGATTTCCAGATGTTCCTCAGTTGTAAATATGCTGCTCTTGCTTTGCCGATCCGCGCCTTCACATCTGCATCAGATCGACCATGTTCGTCAATGATGCTGTCCAGATATGTAAAGGTTTTAACATCTTCCAAATCGTTTCCGTCAATTTTGATTGGATTGGTACATGTTGTGTTGTATCGGAGAATCATGCTTTTCCCTTTGTGTATATTGAGACCTACTGCTGCTGAGGCTGCTGCCACACTGGTCTTTTTCTCCTGCATTTGTTTTTGTGATTGCGATAGGAGGGCCAGATCATCTGCGAAGTCTAGATCGTCCAGCTGCATCCTAGATGTCCACTGTATCCCGTTCTTCCTTTCAGATGTTGACGTCTTCATGATCCAGTTGTTCATTTAGAAAATACAAACATAGTCTACTAATTAGTTATAACTGTAATACAATATGATTTTCAGTGTTTTTAAATTAACTACGATCATTAATGCAAAGTTGACATGACAGACCATTGGTTGATAATAGATGTTCCCAAGACTAAGAGCTAAATGTAAGAAGACAAATAATGTACTCTGTTGGATGAATCTGATAATACACTTTGCCAAGTTTTATGTTTATATATCTAACGTACAGATGTATATCTATACTAATAAGTTATTTACACTTCTAATCGATTGCTCAAGACAGCTTTCTAGTTTTTGTATTTCCATAATAAGTTGAGCAAGTGTTTAAGAAGCCTATCGTACTTGCTTATTTTTATTCACAGGCTACGCTTCCACATATATATGAAGGACAGACATTATAGATTCAGAGACAGTTGTGTCTTTTCAGTCTGAAACTCATTAGCGTTGTACATCCATGACTGCAAGAAACGGAACTCAGGTTTTCCATACATTACAGTTGAACCTAAACTTCAGACCGCTAAGTAAACAAGGAATGAGAAATATGAACCATTGGACCCCAACTTGGTGGTTTAAATTTTAAGCGCTTCGTGAAAACCCTAAAGGTTAAGTGCTCTATCCCTTTGGAGGTCTACGGAGTACATCGTCATAAAGCTCTATACTGGAGTGAAGATTTTTATGTTGCATGATATTCAATAGTCCAAATAGATGATTATATTTCTTTTTAATGATGACACTATTTTATTATTCACTCATGAACTAAAAAACTTCGAAACCTACTAAATTTTAAATACATATTAAACCTCTAACACCTTAAAGTTTAAATACTTTACCGGGTAGTTTTTAATATCACATTTAATAATAAATGAAGTCAACTGAAATTTTCTTTTGAAATCCGATATACAAAAGTAGTATGATACTGAATAATATCTTATTGTTTTGTCATATCCATGATGTGACTAAAAGTTCTTCATTAATGGTAACTAGTTTTCTATTTTGCAATCTATCTTTTTTAAGTAAGTTAAACTAAGCTTACTATCACATCGTTAATAATAAAGCCTGGAATACAATGTTTGATTATCAAGCAAAGATGGATAGTAGCTAGCAGTGTAATCCAAGACTCGCGTTTTGTCCTAATTGGGGGTCGTCAGTTGTATGTACCTGAATCTCAGAGTTAATGTTCACTTTGGGACTCAAACCAAGTACCGTTCGCTTTAAACGCCATCGCGTTATCCACTTAGCTACTATGTTCATCTTTACTTAGAATGCTTGTGAATAAAGGCAATAGGCACAGTATGCACGCATACCAATAACAGACTGATCAATTGCAGTCTTAAACATCAATGGGAAGATTCAAGTAAACAATATCAAGTGAATTTAATCTTCGATTATTGTCAAGAATTCCATTAGATTTAAATAAAACTACTGGAGCTTTAATTTTCCAATTGATTTCATGATTTTGTCATGAAAGATAAGAGAAATTTGACGATTGAACCAGTCAGTTCAAATTACACAATTTGAGCAAACTATACTTTACGTTAAACATTTAGAAAACAGAAATTTTTAGTGTTAATTATATCATGCATTAAATATACATAACATTATCAGTGTTGTATTCATAAAGATGTTTTCTTTTTGAGAGATATTTGTACTCCTTGTTTATGTTTTCCATCATAATATGAAATTCAGAGAACACTGATTAGTTTAGTCAGTCCATAAATATGACATCATAATACACAACATTTAGAGCATTCATTTCACAATGAATACATTTATGTAATGTAAATGTTTATGCCTACAAAACCAATAAATAATTTACCTTTACTGAATAAATGTAACTGAGCTAATTAATCTTATTGACTTTATATTGTAATATGAGATGATTAATCTTTATCATCCAATATGATAATATGGATCATATGTTTATAATCCTTAAAATCATCAATAATTTACTTGGAGTTAGAGAAAGATATAAAAACAAAATGGTATCATTTATTGAACAAGGGATGAATTATCTGATTTTTTTTAGTGTAGCTGCTCAAATGTCAAAAGATAATATGAGGCGCATAACCAGTCAGTTTAATCCACTAGTCGAAAAGTATTTCCTTGGGATAGTTTCGAAGGAATCAAATAAGATCACTACATATCTTTTGTTAAATTGACAAAACAGAAAGTATTTAGAATTATTTAAAGTACACTATACAATTTTTCTAATGGTTTTTAGCCTTATCTCTTAAATCAAGTTGAGGCTATATAGATTCGGGCGAACGACCGTAATCTTCGTACTCGAAAAAAGTTTGGAATATCCCTATACTTTCCTACAAAATGTAGGAACTAATAACTCATTTCTTCCTTTCTGTTTATTCTTCTTTACCTCATCTATATTGCTACCACAATATTTATGTGATTTGTATTCCATATTATCTTGTTCTCAATATTCTTGTAGTTATCAGTACACCTGATTTGATATTCTTAGTTTTTACTTTTTAATAATAATATCAATTGATATGATCTATATACTAATTACCATTGGTTCACAAATGGTTCGAAACATCCAACTCAGAGAACAAAACTACATCAAAATCATCAATCTGAGCTACAAATCTCCACCACCTCAAAATCATATGACCGGACTACGCTTCTCGTCGTACGAAAATAGAATTTGGACAAAAGGCAGACTTCTACTCGAGAACAACTGTATTTTCTCCACGAGTGTCTTCGCTAGCATGTTCTACCAACAAGTGTAAGATACAGACCTCCAATCAACTGCCCTTTGGGATGGAGAACAGCTGAACAAAGTGGAAAAAAAATAAAACACGACCAAAACATCCGGCTCAGAGAACAAAACTTCATCAAAATACTCTTATATCTTTTCATGTATATTTATAATTACATAATAAAATTGAATGAGGATCAAACTGCTAACAATATTGTGTGCTTGAAGATAATGTCCTCAGTTACATAGAAAAAAGTTTGTACATATTATTCACTACGTTTATTATGCCAACAATATTTTTGAGAATATTTTAGCATCCCCTAATGTATATATCGATTGATTATGGACAACATATTTCCAGATAGTTGTGTAATGTATATACTAAGTAATTTGTTAAAAACTATCAGTCTTATCTTTTACCTTGTAATAAGATCATACTCTTGTTAGACAAGTTGATCATTTTGATTTAGGGTGAAAATCTTGGATAATTTAAAATAAATTATTGACTAAAACACTATTTAATTGTTTTAATGCTTTTTTCCCACACAACACTCATGTTTATCATAAGAGATAAATACTTGTGGCTTTAATGAAACACTGATCGAAAGTTTGTGTCTATTTTTATTCTAACTGTTTAGCAACAAAGTGTTATACCTGAATTTAAAGGTTACTCACTAAAAATTACAATACTGAGAATTTATCACATAAGAAAATCATTATCAAAATTGTACTTATTTATTTAACCGGTATTAGTTTGGATTGATCTTTTTCATCATGTTCATGAATGGGTATACTTGCAAAGAAACATTTTTGGATCAAATTTATATGGGACGTAGTTTATTAGTATTGAATTGATTTGATTCACTTGGCTTAAACATAGTTTTCTGTCTTTTTTTAGTATAATTTTACTACATACTTCATGGAATACAACATATCTGAATACAATTTATGCTAGTAAACCTATGATTAGTAAAAAAAAACGAAAAAAACAAACTACCAAATGAAATGTAAATATTGTCAAAACTGTATGCTTTATACATGAAAATATGATATTCAACAATTTATATCCACCTAATTGTTTTGTCGTAAACTAAATCATTGGATTTAATGCGATGTCTGATATTATCATGATACAATGATTTGTTATGATCAATACAATTGTAAGATGGGTTTTGCGGATATTACAGTAATCTCAATGGTTAAAATCATGAGTCAGTTAAAGCTAGACCACCATGAAAAACCTGGAAGCACTGGACGGCCGTTTCGTTCTGTTGTGGGGCTCCTCAGCAGTGCGCATCCACGATGGATGGATATATATATATATATGCTGTACTATAATTTACTGTACTACTCAGATTGTAGCGTTAAAGCCTTAACGGTGTCTGTTTCTTCTGCGAACGGGGATTGAGCTGTACTGTTTGGGTTATCACTTGAAAGTCTGGATGGTCTCTGGTTCTCCTGAAAATCAATGAATAATTACCTTGGCCCACAGGAGTATATTGTATAACTATAAATATAAAGCTACACTTAATTAATTCTACATGTTTGAATAAAAATTATATATATATATATATATATATATATATATATATATATATATATATATATATATATATATATAACTCTATCATTAGATTTAATGCATCTTTAAACGAACATAGTAACTGTGGATATCTGAGATATCTATAGATAAGTTAAACTTACATTATGGATTGATATATCAATATGAGACGTTATCTGAAATTTCGATTCCTAATCAATTCTGTATATGTCTGTATGTAAGAGGAACAAAATGAGGGGATAATAGATAAAGAAAAGTGATATTTGATTTATAAATTATGGAAACTGATCAACAGAAATGAAAGAATTAATGTGCAATAATGACAAAAATATCAACAATTAATAAATGACATTGAAAACTCACTTCCACTAATTGATTTGCATATAATGTACAGGATTTCTTCAATAATATCATGACAACAAAATTAAGTATGATAAATTAGACCTCCCATGAGATGCTATTTTGTATTTAAGTGGTGAAACACTATAAGAATAGGTATTCTGTTCAATTGTTATTTTTGTTTTATATACATACTCTCGTTTTATTAACTGAAAATTGGTCGGTAGGATTCGATCTGCATTTAGAAGGACCTGACATACGTGACATTGATCACCACCTAGTGATCAGTCAATTGTAAATGCATTTGAATCCTACAGGAGGTAGTTCGCGGCTCGGATAGCTCATTGGTGATGTATCTGACTGTGAAACTGTGTGTCACAGTATCGAGTCTAGTCAGGGAACATCAGTTCTCTCAGCATTACAGGTACACGTTGCTGACGAGTGCCAATTAACCTAGGTTCAGGGTTTCCTGCTGACTACTTCCAAACATCATCTTATTTTCATAGATATCTATAAATATGACAAACATTTCATGAATTACATTTTAAATTTATTGGTTGTATGGAAAAATCTAGTGAGTATATCAATTAATCAAAGTATATCAAATGAATTTGCATTCATTTGATCCTACAATGTAGGATGCAAAATGCTAACTAATGTTGTGGATAGTTGGAAGAAAGTTAGGTGTGGCCTAGCCAAACTTTGGCATCAGTCATTAAAGTCACTAACTTCTAGTCTGAGCAATGTTGGAAGATGCAGACTACTTGTTTGGGGTCTACGTGACTATCGTAACTAGTCGTTGGAGACTGTGTGGCATGGCTCAGAATCAACCACAATGGCATCTGTGTATTCACTCTTTGTCTTTCCTTAATCAATGATATTAAAATTGCTTTATATCTTTCTTTCTAACCAATCCTTATACACAATCTTTCATTTGTATATTACTACGACTGAAGTAACTACTTCTATGAATTTGGTGTTGATGTTGTTGTGCTAATGAGTTGTTGCAACTTGGACCGATGTATATATATATATATATATATATATATATATATATTTCTGGTCTTACGTTGTAGCTGACTGACTGATAATCTTAATAACTTTTGATCTATAAAAATTGATCAGATGAACTGATTGTGTGTCTTATCAAACGATCTAATTCAAAGTTTCATGAATATAAATGGTCGTCTACAATTTGATCGTTACAAATAGTATTGAAGTAGATGATCAGTTTTCTCTTAAAATTATTATAATAATTTATCTGATAGTTTTCAGTGTATTATTCATTATTAGATTTTCATGCGTTACACACATCACAATCATTAATCGGTATTTAAAGTTTTATATATAAACACTAGTTAATTTTCTAGTTTTAATGTATATTCTATATTAGCAGGTTATAAGTATAGTTTGCTTCAAAATATGCCCTGAGAATAATATTTCAAAAGCTTCTAACTACTTGATGTCATTGACTATATGGAATCACAAGTGAATTTATAGTCAGAATAAACAGAATATTGTAGAAAACATCAGATTTTTCGAGGTTCTCAAATAATGTTTAATTGGTGAATGTCAATACACAAAATAGAACTTTCACTCAGAACTGTCAGTACATTGATTACTATTATTATTTACTGCTAATAATATTTTGAAGTTAATTTTGATAGGAAACTAATATTTCACCAAGTAAATCACTAGGGATTATCGAGACCTGAACATCTGTTCTTTTCTAGTTTATAACTTCTTATTTGTGTGCAGTTCATAGAGAATCAAATTTATGACCTATAAATTTCTCGTAGAATGTATTGTTTTTAAACTACTAGATATAAATCCAGCTCTGAGCATATTCAACTTCATTCTTTTTGTAATACAGGACTCTTATCATCTATTGTTAATAACGAGTTACTTTAATATTCTAAACGTTGTGCGATATTATTCACAAGCTATCAGGACTCAGTAGCTAAGTGAATAAGGTGATGGTATTTCAAGAGAAAGATACTAGGTTGGAGTCCCAGAGTGAACATCAACTCTAAGATTCAGGTACATACAGCTGATGAGCCTCAATTAGAACAAAACGCGAGTCCTGGATTTCACTACTAGTTATTATCCATCTTTGCTTATCAATATCATCATCAGTCTATTAAATGAATAGAATTCTGTATAGTATATTGTCTCAGTTAATCTATCAGTATAATATGAGTAGAATAATATTCGGCTTATTTCATGTCAAAATCTAATTATTATTATTATTATGTTTAGGATAATATTGAACTTAACACAATAAAATGACCCATAAATGAAGATAATTATACTATCAATTATCGCATATCAACAATTGTGTAGACATTTATTTTACAAGGTAAATAGGACAAATATTTTGACAAGATAATATAAACAGACTGATTAGAAATTTGAGCCAGAATTAGTTGTGGGTGTGTGGGTGTGTGTGTTTTTTGTTTTGTATTTTCTTTTTCTAAAAATAATATTTTAAATATAATTTTTTTATATTAATGAATACTGATGAAAATAGTTAATTAATTTGTCCTGAAAATGAGAAAACAACATTTTTGTTTATCAATTCCGTCAGTAATATTTGTTGTCATTTATCTTATTTACTGAATATATTTACCTCATTTGCTTGTAACCTGGACCAACAAGTCACTTAACAGTAATAATAATAATAATAATAATAATAATAATAATAATAATAATAATAATAATGTTTCGTCGAATCCAACTTGGTATAATTATCATGAAAACTGAATACCTCTTCGCCTAGTTTACTTAAGCTCATGTGAAATTTTCTTATTTTATTTAGGAAGTAGTAGACATTTACCGTCTATTTAGTATCTTAACATGTATGCAATGTAATAAATAGTGAACAGAAATGTACTACTAATCGATAAGTAGTATAAACAATAAACGCGTGTTAGTGATTAACTACTGATTACAGATCTATTATAACATTGAAATTGCTTATCAGTAGAAAATGCTAATAACTATAAATTAATATTTCAATAGTGAAATCTTAAGAAAGAATCTGTATGATTTTCAGTTGATGACATTTTTGATGATTAAAACAGGAATTCCTCAAGATCTATGTATGACACTGTATGCTTTCTATCAATATAATTCTATTCCTAACAGGAATTTAAATATATAATACCTAGTTTAGTTTATTCATCGCTTACATTTCACTTCATAGCTAGTCAATAATTCTATTATTATACTCACTGAAAGAAATTATCTGTGATTGATCAGATTTTTTATTACTTAAATCACTATCCTAAATTAACCTGATTTCTACCAATTTTAAGTAGTATTTGTTTATGTTACCAATTTCACAAATAAATCATTTAATTTTACTCGTCTACTATTGTCAATTACAGATTACTAGCTAGTTTTCTAGTTGTATCGATAGTGAAAGACGTTGAAACTGCAGATAAACCTCAAGTGTATAGCTCATTGTTTTAAAAACTTAACATTTCCAAAGTAAATTTGAAAATGCACGAATTCTTCTCATGTAATTTTTATTTGAATGTTTACAAGAAAGCTTTTAAATCCGGCGACTGTAATGTACAATAGACCGTATATATATATTGTAATTGGCTGATGATGTGTCCTTATTGACCATGAAATGTTTTAATGAACACATATAGTCATGAATTAGTTAACTAGAAAATTTGTACAATTTTTACTCTTGGTTTGGAAATTGTAGCATTTATATTTTGTCCTTGATCACTTGGTTGTATAACCGTGTTTATACTTACTTTATATACAAAAGCTACATCATTCTGTTGAAACATTCTAAACACAACACTTTTATCAACAGAATCTTAGTCACATTCTTGTTTTACATTCACTTCTGTAATTTTCATTTCTCATTCATTTTATTTTAGATGTGCCAATCATATATCCTTTTGAATCTAATCCAATACGTGTACTAGAAACTACCTCCTTTAAACAAGTATGTAGGATTAAAGCAAATCCTGCAGCTCGAATTCATTGGGTCGATGAAAATCAAAATGTGGTTTCAAGTAATGAGAAACAATTCTCCTATTATAAATAATAAATTAAGTAAAAATTTTCTATTCCGTTATGCAAACGTTATTGTTTTAAATATTTTTCTTAGCATAGTAAGAACGAGAAATGTTTAAAAAGTGAGATACATTTAACCATGTTAATAATAAGGTACTCATCATTAGTGAAGCTAGATACCGTTCTCGTTAATGTCGTGAACAAATTAATTTTTAAAAAGATGGACCATCAGAATCCAACTCAGAGATCTATAGGTGACGGGCTTGCCATCAGAAATTCTTAGTTTCATTCCCTGACAAATAACTAATGTGCGATTCTGAGGAACTTATATCTACTACGAAATTACTGATCTATACTCTCGATGCTTTACGGTGTTTTATCCATCTGATGTCAGTTAGTGATGAAAACATTTTTAACTTGTGTAGAACATCTTTGTGATTATCCATATAATTCATATATCAGTCAATTATAAGTCACAACAGTACATAATTTTCGAAAAGCAAAACACAGTAGCCGGAACGCTTTAATGCAGCAAATACCTGAAACTATACAACCAACAAGTATAGGAATGAGAGAGATAAATGAACGAATGAATACAACTTGGCAATTAAGTATTTCCGTATATGTAAATAAGTCATTAAGAGCTTAAGCAACTGTTAGTTAATCTGATAGGAGAAATATATTAATAGGTTGTTAAATGCATTTTATCATACACACTATCACAGACATAACGATATACACAAAAATACTGGTGAATTATTACGGACTAAAATAGCACTATCTGTCATGTAGATTATTTCAAGGACCTAACTAATTTGAACATGTGCAAGCATGTGTAAGGGTAAGGCTACCACACTACATTATTTGAATTTTATCAGGCTTGAACATCAAGAGACTGTTTGCTCACTTGAAGCAAATTTTATAAAAACGTGACTGGTATACCAATGAGATAAACTTTAAATATCAGAAAAACTAAGAGAATTTGTATTGTGATTCTGAAGCAATATCAAACTTAAAAGATGGTATTTGGTCATTTGGCTATAAGCAAAACTTATTATATGTTGAGAACAATCCATACGTAATGGTTCATATCCGTATCCATATAGAAATATAACTTGATTTCACTTTGTTTCTGTGAGAATAATCAATTTTCCATAACTATGAAATCCTATAACGAGAATGTTTTTAAAAATATTAAGATTAATGGCGATTAGTTGATGTTTCTTAAACAATTTAATCATGAATTTCTTAGAAAAAAATATAAAATCTCCAAGCTCTAATGTTTCCGATTACTGCTAATACTCTTACTACATCTACCACTATGGAATTTGAGTGGTGTGGCAACTCGAACTGATGTACGTACGTACGAAGTTCTACGTTGTTACTGACTGACTGAGTGACAAATATTCCATGTACATCGCTAAGTCTCTTGTCAGTTATAATTAAACATTTATAAGTAATTGTAAATAATAGATGTATACAATCATACTTTGACTTAGAATGATCTCGTATTTTTACGACGTTTATTTTTATCTTTCTAATCTATTAGATGTTATTTCAGAACACAGTAAAAATGTCATTTACCTCTTTTAACTAATGAAGGTTCATCAGTTCAATAATAAATATTCTTAGTGAAAAAGTGATGTAGCAAAAGATAATCGAAAATTCTCCCAAGTTTCTATCTGAAATGTTTTACTACTTTACATCTGTCTAAAAGTAATTAAACATATGAATATATTCATAAGATATGAGAATCATACATTAAATACTTCATTTGCAAATCTCTCATCATTTGTTGTTCACATTCTGTATGATTCTTCCAGTTCATAGTTCCTTTCTTTTTTTTCCCTTCTTTTCTCTTCAACTCGATCTTCTTAGCCTTCTGATGCCAGATATTCCACTTCTGATTGATGTTACATACTACTTATATTTGTCGACATAACTAACATACACCATACTATGATAAGATATATATAATAACTTCTGATATCTTACTGTGAAATGTTCAAAAATTTACCATTTATTGTCTATGATTATTATCATTTTAAAGATACCTATAAAAACACTTCGTTTAGAAGAATCCTAGTGAAGATTGTAGTAAATCAATTCACTTAGAATAAATAAAGTGATTACAAATTTAACCCGATTTTAATTTATTGGTATACTGTAATCTTCATACAGTGAATTCTAATTATTTCTATTTTACTGTATACAAAGAAACATATGAATTAAGTTATTAGTCAGTGCTGATCCATGTTTATTGAACTTCAAAAATTCATATTTCATTATTGTTGATCAGTAAGTATTTTTCAGTAATAGAACTTAGTTAAGAACCCGTTATTTTGGAATCAAACATTCATTTCAAACATGTTCAGTATAGTTAAACAGCTAGAATAATCTTTTTTTCTTTCCTAACTTCAGATAACTCTTTACTTGGTATACATTATGTGAGCAGAAATGGGCCAAAAATATACAAATGTATAGCTTCTAATGTAATCGGAGAAACTAATCAAAAGTTGTTGATTGATGTATTGTGTAAGTGAAAGCTTCCTGTTTAATTTTCTAACCTATTATCTAAAATTGGATAAAATTTGAGTTTAAAATAAACAATGCGGTTTGCAGAAAGATGAACACGTTTTCTTTAGAATAGTATATCACGATGTATACATACATACAAAGAAGGCAAGTCAGTCACTGAGATTCAAGAACAGAGAGGCAAATGGGTAGAACACTTTGAGCAACTCTTGAATAGGCCAGCTCCATTGAATCCACTGAATATCAAAGCACCAAACATAGACCTTCCTATACATGTCACTCCACCAACAATCAAACACATCAATTGTGACCATCAGACAAATCAACTGTGGGAGAGTGGAAGGACCTGACAACATACCAATCGAAGCACTGAAGTCACACAGAGAAACAGTCGCAAATTGTCCCACGTTCTACTCAAGAATATTTGGGAGGAAGAACAAGTGCCACAGACGGACTGGAGAAAAAGACAACCCATCAACATACCAAAGAATGAAGATCTGAGCAAATATGACAACTACAGAGGTGTCACACCACTATCAGTCCTTTGGAAGGTTTTCAACAGTGTTGCTAAACCGGTAGAAATATTTAGTAGACGCCCAACTTCGAGGACTGGCAAAGCAAGTAAGTACTGGACACTTGTGTTACCCTATCATGCGACTACTCAACATTGCCCCTCCATGAATCCATGACAAATCTAGCTTAGGACCATCAAGTGCTCCAGCAAATCCTTGGCTTTCAGACTATTTAAGTACTATCCAATGGTGTGTATTGATAAATTTTAGTCACTTCATGATTCCACCTGACCATCTTCCATTGGATCATGTAATATTTGTCTTGCCCCTGGTATAGTCAAACAGTACTGTTCACAAATTCTCATCAAAATTCTGAAAATTACCTGGATAAAACAACTATTCACTACTTTTAGGTTTCTAATTACTGTCAAGCTACAGTTACTCCTTGATGTTAAGCTTTAAATGCAATTACTTACATAACATATTAATATTTCCAATTAGTTGTTTTAGGAAAACAGCTGATTTCAGTAAATGTACATTTTTAGAAATAATTTCAAATTATTTAGCGAATTACTACCTTAAATGATACATGCAGAATTAGCTGAGATTTTGCATATTAAGAGTGTTTTAATTTAATTTCAACTGAAATCCAATTCTGTGATTTTGTGGTGCGTGCTACTTATACTGACATAAGTAGTATATAACGCGAGTCAAGAATGTAATGTCTGGCAGCAGAAAATTGTGAAGATCGAAAAAGGAGGAACGGGAATAGAATGCAATTGGTATAGAAATGCAAGAACGATGAAGTCCGAGACAATTACTGAACATTTTGCAAATTGGGTATTATAGTATGGTTTTTCTATTTTACCAAGTAACTCTGCAATATCCTAATACACCGAACTACCTATTATACTGATGTAGAATGTAGGGAAATACTTTGTTTTATCTTAAAATTCAGATTAATTTTTGACACATATTAGTCACTTTTTATTTATGTCAATTAGATCCTCCTACTGTTCATGTTCAGCCAAAAGTAACTGTTAATGAAGGTGAAGCATTAGAAATAGCTTGTCGTGTTGATGCAAATCCAGTTGCTTCATCAATATACTGGACTTATAATAAATTTCCTGATCAAACGAATATACGTGATCAACCAAATTTACATTGGTTTCAATCTAAGCGAATAGATGGTTCCGTCTTAAAAATTCCTTATACATATCCATATCATTCAGGACAATATTATTGTCATGCAGACGCTGAGATTTATATGCCACAAGATCTATGGTTATCTCAAAATTTATCAACTTCCACTGAAGTATGGTCTATTTGGCAACAAAGATCTAGATCATTTGCAGCAGTTAATTTAACCATAAACTGTGAGTCAAGAATTTCGTTAGTTATATCACTGCCTGTAATTTCCCGATGACTCGAAATGATTATATAAATAATAACACAGCGATCTTTGAAAAGGTGAATTATAAGAGACGCTGTGACCTGTTTCCCCGAAAAATTGTGTATGATATGCGTATACCCTAACTATTAATATATTATTAGTGTTAGTTACTCAATATTTCACTCAAAGATACAGTTTTCTTCGCATTTCGTAAGCTTTCTGTTTAGCCCACTAAGTCAGTTGAATCTGGTTAGAAGGAAAAGTGAAATCCCAAAACCATTTATTGCTATTCTTCTTTTACTACGTCACACAAGTTGCTATAGAGTAGGGTTAATAAAGTTAACCTCCAGTGACTTCTTTAGTACTGAAGAGTTCACGATACAGGTCCTGATAAGCAGATTTAGAATGCTTTAGAATATATTGTCCCCACTGATTAAAAAACAGTTATAAATGAGACTATATACTATGGACGACCTCTGTGCGACTCTCGAGTGATCTTGGTAGTGTCCACCTAATAACCAGGACCAAATGAGAGTTATTGATTTACTGTGAGGAATTAGAGTTATTATTTACAGTTGATGGTTAAGCTGAGGAATTAGATTTAGGGCTTTCATCACGAAATGGCATCAGCTTTAATTTCAAAACTCTGTTTAGCCAAATGGATGAATGAATTTCATGCCAAAATCCAAGACCTGTGATCTTGTACTTGATTGGTTCGTCCATAAATTATAGTCTCGCCTTCTTATCACTATTTTTTTTGCCAAAAATGCTTTAAATGTACTCTAAATCTTACATATGAATCTCTTTTGAAATTTTTATTAAAATTCAGACTCTCCTGGAAAACCTACTTTAACTGTAGTATATTCGACTAATAATAAAGGTGAAGATTATATCATATTACGATGTCAAGAAAATTCTTCAGGTAATATTTTTTGAGCTTATATTATAACAAAATAAATTATTTTAATAGTTGAAATCATAAGTCAATTGAAGCTAGATCACCATGGAAAACCTGAGAGCACTGAGCGACCGTTTCGTCCTATTTTAGGAATCCTCAGCAATCCCAAAGCAATTAAAATTACTATAATATCTACAAATACCCATTTTGATATTAAAATAAATTATGTTTAAGAAGTGTGCTAACAGTAATTTTGTAGACTTTAATCTAATATATATATATATATATATAACTCTACCATTAGATTTAATGCATCTTTAAACGAACATAGTAACTGTGGATATCTGAGATATCTATAGATAAGTTAAACTTACATTATGGATTGATATATCAATATGAGACGTTATCTGAAATTTCGATTCCTAATCAATTCTGTATATGTCTGTATGTAAGAGGAACAAAATGAGGGGATAATAGATAAAGAAAAGTGATATTTGATTTATAAATTATGGAAACTGATCAACAGAAATGAAAGAATTAATGTGCAATAATGACAAAAATATCAACAATTAATAAATGACATTGAAAACTCACTTCCACTAATTGATTTGCATATAATCTATAGGATTTCTTCAATAATATCATGACAACAAAATTAAGTATGATAAATTAGACCTCCCATGAGATGCTATTTTGTATTCAAGTGGTGAAACACTATAAGAATAGGTATTCTGTCCAATTGTTATTTTTGTTTTATATACATACTCTCGTTTTATTAACTGAAAATTGGTCGGTAGGATTCGATCTGCATTTAGAAGGACCTGACATACGTGACATTGATCACCACCTAGTGATCAGTCAATTGTAAATACATTTGAATCCTACAGGAGGTAGTTCGCGGCTCGGACAGCTCAGTTGTGACGTCTTTGACTGTGAAGCTGTGTGTTACAGTATGTGAATGTGAATAATTTCTTTAATAAGATGAAATTCTCTATTAAAAATTATTGAATAATTGAATGTCTTCAACAAAGCACTACTTTTTTTATTTATGAACGATCATGATAAAAATAAAACAATTCGGAAATGACAAAAGACTTACATGTAGAAATTTAAGTAGAACACTTGTATACTTGTAAAAAAGATTTACAATATTACCTTTCGATAATGTAATAAGAAGACGAAGATTATCAGAACTATGTGATATATTAGCGCAATATATTTCGAACAATCTGATCACACATATACTTGTTAAGAGCATTTACATATAAAAATAAAAGGTGAACTAGACTAGAAATGGAGGATACGAGGAGATAGGGATAATAATAACAGTAATAATAATAATAATGTGAACGCAATTCGAAACCCAATCACTCTGGATAATAAGTCAAAATTACCAGGGTAGGTTTAAGGTTAGAACAAACTGTTTTTGAACACACAAAGGGGGTTTGAATTTTCGTATGGCTAAGGTTTCAATAAACCTTTTACACCTTTATACAACACCACAAAGGCTGAGTTAAGATCAATCTTATGGTCTGTTTCAATTATATGTTTAGCAATAGAGGATGATGGATGTTTATCCTCTGCTCTTGTTGGATCACTTGATTCTATTTGTTTCTGCAACCATTTTTGGTACGTGTTCACACATCCTAATTTTAAGATCACGATTGCTCCTCCCTATGTATGTGTAACTACACACACATTTAAATTGGTAAACACAGTTGGATGTGACACAATAGTTTTCATGTCTTTTAGGTTTTAGATTAAGCATGCACCTTGTTCTTTCTTTGATAATGACCTTTGCTACGCAATACGTTTTGTTGATGACTGATTTAAGTCTTCGTTTCAATAAAAGGCTATTTGAATCACCTCTGAATGGTAAGGTGATGTGGACAGGCATTTTTCTACCAAGACTACAGTAGGTCTCACTGTACCATGGACTTTCCATCTATTTATGAATTTCAAAGGATAATCACTTCCCATTAATGTTTTATCTAGCAACTTAACATCATCATCAATGGAGTCATTTATACAAATACAATCAAGCCTGTTGAAAAGGAACCTTGTCAAACCACGTTTGTATTGCACAGGGCAATAACTATAATAACTAAGGTATTGACCTGTCCACATTGGTTTTCTAGAAATGGATCGCTTGACTGAGCCATCTTCTCGTCTACTCAGAAGTATATCTAGGAAGGGAAGCTGATATATCCTCATTTCTTTCACAAACAACTAAGATATCGTCCACATATCTCTTATAATGTGACATGCTTTCGATTCGGTCACCAACCAAATTTTCAACATGTGCCATGAACACATCTGCTAATAATGGTCCTAGTGGACTATCCATAGCAACCCCATGAATTTGATGAAAGTATTCACCTTCAAAATTGAACTGAACTTTGTCAGTAAATCTTTAAGAATTTTTAAAGGGGGGGGGACACATAATTTAAGATTGTTATATTACCTTTATTTTTTCTTCTCAATTCATCTTATTATAAAACTTTAAATTTATTGAATAGTACCTGGTCTACCACGTCCAACAATTCATTGGCTTCGTACAATTGGAATGAATGAAAAAACTGAAATTATAAATCAGTACTTTAATTATGAATATAATGAACAGTTAAAAAGTTTTATAATTAAATTATATAATTTAAGTATATATGATTCTGGAATCTATAGTTGTTTTGTAAAAAATGAACTTGGATCAAGTCAATTAGCATCTGTAAATGTTCTCATTAAAAGTATGTTTGTAATTCATAATATAATCAAAAAGTTTTTTTACTGAATTAAATGAGTTCAGTTTTTTTTGTAACTAATCAATTTTTCAGGGTATATCATGGGTCTTTTTTTGAGTACCTACAAATGAATGATTACATGTATTCAATGTTATTGATATCATCTAACTTAGATATACTTTGAAAATCAGAAAACATTGGACAAGTATTTTTATTGTAGTATAAGATAAATCATCAGTGAGAATTCATGATCTCAATGGGAATTGAACCCAGGACCTTCGGTTTTGTGGAGAACGCTTAATTGCTAGACTACTAAGCTGCCATTTGATGGTGTACTTGTTTGATTTCAATGAATTCACCTCATTGAGGGAATCATAGATACTTGGCCTGTCCAGAGTTCCTTGGCTTTCATTGGTTGTCTAACTTAGTTCGATTCGTGATACCAATAACACTCAATAATTTCTACATATCCTCCTATGCATATTACCTGTTTTATACTCCCAGTGTTATTCATCATTGTCTTTTTTTGTTTTCTCATAAGTAGATCTTAAAGTAAGTGTTCTTGGGATATCATGTATCAAAGATTTCAAATGATAAGTTTATCCGACAATGAAATAGATATTTAGAATTACGTTCCTTTCTCATACTTTCATCCTTGTCTAGCATTCAATTCAAAGATAGCTCTTCATTTTGGAGGCCATTGATTATCATAGTTTAGATTTTGTCATTTTAATCTTAATTACTGAAGAGAGATTCGCTGGTTAGCGGTTAGTTGGTTGAAAAGTATTTGGTTTTGTGGTATTTAAATTTTTGTAGGCCATTGTAAATTTGTTATCCTAGAAGGCAAGAAAATTTGAGTGGCGTTATACCGGAATTTACTATTTAGTAACTTAGATACTTTGGTCAGGTCACCACTGATCCTTCTGTGTGATGAGGGACATGGGCGCGGCTTTGCCAACCTTTCTTCATACGACACACTTGAGATTCCAGCGAATAAATTCGTTATGGTTCTTTGAATCTAATTCAAGAGATTATAGTCTTCCTATATGTAACTATACAACACTGTATATAATATTAAACACTTATTGATAGCCAAACAGCTGAACGCTCACCTTCATGAAGTTTGCATTGATGATGTAGTTCAAAATGACAATGATGATTCGCAATCAAAACATCTAGCTCAGAGAACCCAATTTAATCAAACACATGACTCTGAAATAATTTGATTTATACTGGTATCGTTTTTCAAATCATTTGTAATGTCTTAAATTTATTTTAAAGAATAACTTTTATTTTGGAATAATGTCTCAAGTCGAGATAAGAATCTCTAAATAAGGTTGGCACTCAAAAACAAGTTCATGAGCCGGAAAGTCTTATGCATGACATATAAAGTAAATTAGATGTGGCTGTAGGGAGACCCACACAAACGAGCTAATGTAATGTTATCTTCTACTCAGTATTAATCGATTTAAATCTGTAATAAATAAGAACTTTCGTCTAAAGTTGATCGAATAATTTCACAGTATTGGGGCGCCGAGATAATGTGAGACATTAAAAAGGAAGAATGTATATGTAAAATCTGGTCCTCTTTGAAATCATTCTTTTATCTTGTTTATTTATCTTCATTTAATGCATGCTGTGACATTTTTGATTCATATCATATATAAAAATTATGTTTTCTTAATATTCACCGACCGAATGAAATTTGTTCTTCTCACTCAAGTATACACACAATGTGTTATCTTAACACTTTTCGTTTCACACCACATGTCTCTTACACACTAACGTAAATACCTGCTTTAAACATTGTTAACGTTGATTGGATGACTTATTCAGTATACAGTAAACCGTAGAAATACGTACCCATTTATATTCGATAATTTTGATGTTTGATTATATTTCTTTGAAAAAGCTTGGACCAGATTGCCAGGCGAAACGTTGGATTTACTCCAAATTCATTCGCTGAGATTTTACAAATACATTCTTCCTTTTTAAATCTATAATCTTTTAGTGTACCAAAAAAACTACTGATGACTCCAACGATATATGAGTTTCCCTCTGATCAAATATAATACCTGTTAATTTATGAAATTAAACTGTATATATAACTTAAAAGTTTCATGCCTCATCCAACAACATTCGGTGATCTTCGAAGAATTTGTTTTCTAAGTGTCAAACTCTTCATGTTAAAACTTAGTGATTGGAATGAGTCACTTTTGAACCCCATGCTGAAAACTCATTTCTTATGGAGAAACCTTAGTGATCAAAATAAATCATCATTTTCCAGTACTCCTTAATTATAACAGCTGTTTTCAAACAATTCATTTGCTATAAATCATGAGTAAGATTCTTCTGTCTACGGTCACCAAACATACTCTCATTACGCCTAACTATGTTAAGTAAAACTTAATATAAATGTGATCATTGAAATAAACCATATGCTGGAAAATCAACGAGCCAATGTCAAAATTCTCCGACCTATTTTCTAACATAATCCATAATTTAGGGAAAATCTGATCTGATAAAACCAATTTGATATCAGATGTTGCTAAGACAAAAATATTTTCAACAAAAAAATCAACTGAGAATAATTGTTTACAGTAATTTCATGTTTTAGCTTGATAGTTAGACATTGAGAATTATTTCTATTACTATAAATGCTTATCTCTAACTCTGTCTCTCTTTTCATATCATTAGAATCATTTTAAATTAGTTTATTCTCGCTAGTATTGTTATTTACGAAGATATTTTTGATGAAAGATCTGTATGGTTTGAAGTTTCCCTTTTATCATAAATAGATGCCGCTTCCAAATCTATGTGTCAAATAATCGTTATTTTACATATTTTAAGATCTCTATGTAGTACCCATCAACAATACCAAACATGATTGAGCAAATGACATCAAATTTTTTTCGGTGATCATCGAAAATTAACCGTTGACTGTTCTAGAGTTTCAAAGTGGGACGATAGATCTTCTAATCTTTCTCATTTTCAGTGACTCAACGGCTGATTTCCATCTTTATAGTCATATTTCTGTTACAACTGCCTCTCTTTTTTTATATTATATCCATATTGTTCTAGTCTGTTGATTTGCATACATCGACTTATAGTTTTCGCTTGTTATAAAAATAACACATATATTGAATACTGTCTATTATTTTGATCTTTTAGTTTAATAAGTAACTCATTTTGTAGTTATTTGAGTTATTCAAAGTATGAAATTCAAGAAATAACATCATTCAAATCTTAGATCTACTTAACGTTATGAATGTATGTGCTGATTATTGTAGTGTATGTACAATCAATACATAGATGAGTGTATTTTCGACTAGGATCGACGTCATCATCGTTGTCATCGTGTTTCGGGAGTTAATAAATCTTCACTTGTACCAGTTTTGTGTACATACTTTCGCGTCGTGAAAACTGTACAGATCCCTTATTTCAAGTATTAAATGATAACTGTTTCCAACACAACAATCAAACATAACAAGTAGCATTAAACGACAAGACATATCAGTATAACAAATAGTTCTTACAAATTCAAAGATTTCTATGTACTTGATCATTGTAAATAATTGGACAAAAAAAAGAATTTATTTAAATAAAGCATGAACAATTTTGATGCAGAATAATATGAATTCACTATATTTCGTGGTTTGTCGTCAGTTGCTTACAACCAAATATGTAATAGAATTTTACATTGAGATAAGAAATAATGTGAAACAATTGACAAAAGTGAATGTAAATGATTGGAATGACATAGGTTTACAATAATAGCTACATATATATAAGCAAGAACGGGTCAGAGGTTAATTGGTGTTGGAATTACGGAATCAATTCAGGGTGGGTGGTGTAATGGTTGAGTGGAGTTCATAAATTGTGTGCTAATTTTAGAAGTAGTGAAGGCTTCATGGAATTAAACAGTGATAAGATAGGTTGCGTAATAATTGAACAGAATTTGAAAAGTTAACATAATTTAAGAGGGTAAGTGGACGGAAATGTGTGAATGAAAAATTGGTTTAAGAATTCGGTAATGGGGTGGGGGAACATAACACAATAAATATTTTAAGAATAAATAATTCGATGAAATAACACAAATAACCAAAAAAAAGAACAATAAAAACAATAAAAACGGATTACCAAGGTAATGTAATAAGTTTACTAATGTCTCTTTTTGAATACATAAATCCGGTCTAAGTTTTTTTTTATCACGATCACTTCAGCAAAACGGAGAGCAGTCGTACTTCTTTGTCTGCTGATAATTTTAAAAGCGTGTGGAATGTCGATGGTATACCCGGTATCAATTTATTATTATTTATTTTTTCTGTTTTCTTTTCTTTCTTTTTTTTTGTTTTTTTTTCTTTACATCATTCATTAGGTAAACCTGTTTTAATAAATAAACCAAATGAAAAAATGATTCTTAAATTTGAAAATGTTCATTTATTAAAACAAAACACAACTCATCAACAAGATAACATTGAAAATTTCTTACAATACACTATACATATAATTCCTGATAATAATAATAATAATAATATGAATTGTACATTTCTATCCAGTTTAACATCTGATGTTCAATGGTTATTTCAAAGTGATCAAACAATAAATGATTTCAATAAACATATAATGATTGATCAAAATCTATTAAAACAATGGACAAATAATTATTTAATTAAAAATAAATTTGGTTTATGGAAAATTGTAACATCATTAAATTTTCAATTCAATTCAATTATATTATATATAAAGAATTCATTCAATAAAATAATGAATCAATTAAATCATGAATACCCTAATCAATTCATTCCATATAATTGGGATTATTATGTATTAAAACAATTCATTGAATTTTTAATTATTCTTCAATTTCAAGGTGATTATTTATGTGAATTAACAAATTCAATAGGAATTGAACATGGATTAATTAATTTAATGGTACAAAGTGAGTAGAATGAATTTATTTTTGTTAATTGATTAATATATTGTTATCATTTGTGACCTATGTACTCTATTCATGTATAATGTAATGATATAGTTTTTATATTGTAAAAGTTAAGATTGTATCAATAGGTCACAAAATATAAACAAGAGGAAAACTAAAGTTCTCAAATACAACACGGAGAACACCAACGATACTAATTATACTTCATGGCGAAACACTGGAAGATGTAGAATCCTTCATATATCTGGTAAGAATTATCAATGAACAAGGTGGATTGGATGCAGACGTAAAGGTGAGGATTGGCTAAGCAACAACAACATTCCTACTATCGAATAATATATGGAACTCAAAACAACTGTTTCTCAACCAATATCAAAATGACAATCTTCAATACGAACGTCAACACAGTTCTGCTGTACGAAGCTGAAACTTCGATAACTACTACAACCAATAACAAGAAGGTGCAAGTATTTATAAATAGTTGTCCACGTGAGATACTTAATGTCCGTTTGTCGGATATCATCAGCAACAGCTTACTGTGGGAGAGAACAAACCAGCTTCCATCCGAAGAGGAAATGACAGAAAGACTCTGGGAGTGGATAGGACATACATTATGGAAATCCCCAAACTGCATCACGAAGCAAGCGCTAACTTGGAATGGTGAAGTTATGCAAAGTTACATTTGGTAACAGTCAAGTTTTGTTTGTTCAGTTAGCTATGAATTAATTAATATCAGTTAAAGTATTCCCACTGAATATTTCGTTGTTTCAGCATATATTAGCATCAAACAATTTTAATTTTACTTTAGGGGATTGATCGAGATGTTAGAATTGTCACTGTTCAGATCACAAAATGATCTTAGACAGACTACTGTCGAACGCTTGTAAGTACCGGACGGTCATTTCGTCATAGTATGACAGTCTTAAACAATACGCATCTGTAGCTCAACATCCGCAAATGGAACTCAGAATATTCAATCTCGCACACGAATGCCTAAGCTCTAGATCGGTGGGCCAGTATCCAATAGTGTTAGTGTCTATCCTCAACCAATTTTTAATATATCGCAACCTTGACCCACTGCTAATCATGTGCTCACAAGTGACTAGCTTCAAGATGTAACACCCAAAGTTCTAGTAAGAAGTCGTAACCACTGGAGCTCAACCATATTCAATGCAAGACGAATATCCACAATACAAGCGAGACTGAAGGTCCTAACTTCGAGTGCCGCCCGTGGATTAGTGAGTTCGCGCTGCTGAAAAGCATCATAACTGAACGAAACAGATGTCCTGCGCCCTCGCATTTACAATAGTGGTCGGGTTAAGATTGGTTCTTAATTTAAATCCTAATTTTAGTTTTAAAAAATGCTGGTCATACATGCTGAGCACTGAAGGAAATAGCTCAACGTCATAAACCATTATGGATAATGAGAAATTTTTACAGTAAGTTGCTGGGGAGACATTAGTCTCCATTTCTTTGACATGCTTGAGTAACTGACGCACAATCGGAGGCTGAAACATTGATCTTTCGACACCATAGTCAAAAACACAATGAATCAGTCATGTAAGCTAATGGTCAATGTTAGTAAAAAAAAGGAGAAACCTGGAGTTTAGCCACCAATTTTATTCAGAGCTAATCCGTGTCGGGTAGAAACATCTGTCTACCTCAGTACAATCGAAGATGGTCACGCAATTTCGTGGATTGGTTGGGGTTAGACATTACCACCACTGGATGCCGGTCGGCTCAGTGGTCTAGTTGGTTAGGCGCCTGGCGCGAGACTGGTGGGGTCTGGGTTCGAATCCCGCGGGGTGGGGAGTCATGGATGCGTACTGCTGGAGAGTCTCGTACTAGGACGAGACGGCCGTCCAGTGCCCTCAGGTTTTCTATGGTGGTCTAGCTTCAATTGACTCATGATTTCAATCAAAAATAAGTATTTTAACAGCATTACTGAAGCTATCAACTTCGGGAGTATTGTCATGAAGTTGAATAAGACTTATACATTTATGTGTGATATCAAAATGTTCGGATGATTTTAAGGTTGTTTCTACAAGGAGTTGACATCATTCCAGTAACTATTAGATATTTTGTCTTATTTCTAGAATCATTATTAATGTGCATCAGCGACCTCACAAAAAATAAAGTTTATTATTTTTATTTCTTCAGGAAACCATAAAGCCCTAAGACCATTGGGCGATGAGGTATCATCGGCAAAAACAGCCGGGTGTAGCTTTCTAGTTTTCAGTGGTTTACTAGATGCTATCACTCTTTAAATAATGCTATCTTCAAAATAAGATTCACTTTAAAGTCATTTCTTTCACTACTGATTTTTTTTAGAATCACCAAGTTCAATTATCAGCTTCAGTGAAGCAATATCAATCTCTATTAGCGAGCAAACCGCACATCGGTATAATGAAAATGAAATCAAATTACATGGCCCACTGTTTTGTCAATTCTATGGTAAACCAGTTTTAAATCAAATCAAATGGTGGAGATATACAGGATTAAATTATCATGAACAAAATACGCCAAATCAATGGGAACTAATTTATAAAACTGAAAACTTTAACGAATCCATTCATATTGAAGTATGTATGCTTTTTATAATCATCATTTTTACAGAGTTAATATTAGTAGATTTAAAAGTGCTTTCCTATTCAGTTGATCTCATTGAAGAGTCTATAAAACCATGTTGGTAATATTGATAAGTATGACAGCAAAATGTTTGCCAACTAAGACAGATAGTTTACAATTCAATCTGTTCATATTTGTTCCTACTATTGGTTAATCCCATCCGAACTAGTGCTTATCGTTAGAAATAAGGAAAATAAGTCTCATATACTTTAGGACTATTCATGGGTTAAATGTGTTAGGCTTACAAGTAATGTTAGGTAAATATTATTTGACACGTATTAAAGTGTGGTCATTTCACTGATTTACTGAAATCGGCTGACCTGGAGTAAGGATCTACCATCTAGTTCACTAGCGTATACAATCTATTTATCCAAAACATACTTACTAATTAGATAATTTATATCGTTTGAATATCAATAAACTCCAATGACTCGATTTATTCTACGTAACTACATCTAGCTACTTGGTATCATTCATGATTAGATGTCACTTCACTACGTAAAATCGGATTAAAGAAAAGTAACTGAAATTTAATATCTATTTGAACACCATGGACTTAGGTTTCGTACTATTAGGCACTCATCAGCAAGGTTTACTTGTAATCTTGAAGAACTTGTTGTTATCTGATAGATTCGATATCTTATTACTAAGCTTCACAGTCAGAGACATCATCAATGAGCTGTCTGGGATTTAATAAACTTTCTGAAGGACTAAAATGTATTTATGATTGATTGATCATTGGGTAGTGACCAATGTCAGGCATGTCACGTCTTTCTTAGTACTGTCCATAAAATTGCAGTGTGACCACTAGTCTAGGACACTAGAAATCGAGTGCATTATGGTGAGATGTGAGGTGGTGGTTGTGGTGCCAACAACACAAAGCCAAGATCTAAGGTCTCGTTCCGACTACTATCCAGCGATAAACTAGAATGAGTTGACATTTTCCATTCGACCAAATAAACCTAAAACTAATCATTTATAAATGTACCATGTACAATAAAAACCTCATGAGCTTTACTGATAGAATAAATGCTCGAAATTGTTACTTCCTAACAGTCAGAGTTTTTGGATGTATGGGAGTCAAAACCATCACCATTTCTTCATTCAAATGGGCTATTTAACTACTTATATTTTTTCAGTAGCCAGGAAAGATCTTTAGTGTTTTCATAATTAGTTATACATTTTTTCAGGAAACATCTAGTCTACTAATTATCACCGGGAATCCAGCATTCATCACTTCATCTAGATTTAATTTCAATATGGATGGAAGACAATCAAGTTACGAGGTTCTTGTCCGCAACCTGGAAAAGATGACTTATAGATTCACGATGTTCACAATGCTGTGGTTGAAGAAATTTAATCATAAAGATTATGGATATTATAAATGTCAGTCAAAAAATGAAATAGGCAGTATTTCTGAAATTCGTCAATTCCAGAAACCAAGTAAGGTTGTTTTTTCGAATTCAAATAGTATGAACTATTTTTAAATAAGTGTTAATTATGCACAACTCCGCCTGTAGCTCTTCCAGAGTTACTGCCGGTCCCAAGCCCGGGTAAAGGAGGAGGGTTGGGCATGGGGTTAGCGACCACATCCCGTAAAAAACTAACTCGCTAAAAAAACGCTTACCAGAAAAAATTAGTCAAACCACTTAAACTCTGCCCTGAAAGTTAGAAGGTCTTCATTTAGAAGAATTATGACGCTTCATAGTGAAAGCCGAGTTCCTTCGGAAGCCACGAGACCGATGTCCCTTCTAACAACCAGAGTAAAAATTTTTATAGGTACATGGAACGTCCGAACAATGTGGGAGACCGGGAAGACCAGTCAAATAGCAATGGAAATGAGGAGATACAACTTGGCAGTACTGGGAATCAGCGAAACCCATTGGACCCAAGCTGGACAGAAAAGGCTAGCTACGGAAGAGATGCTGCTATACTCCGGTCATGAAGAGGAAAATGCTCCGCACACTCAGGGAGTCGCTCTAATACTGTCCAAAGTAGCACGAAATGCACTTGTAGGATGGGAATCTCACGGATCCAGAATCATCAAAGCATCATTCAAAACAAAGAAGGAGGTAATCACAATGAATATTATCCAATGTTATGCACCCACCAATGATAGCAACGACGACATTAAAGAGCGATTCTACGAGCGGCTGCAGTCAATCATAGAGAAATGCCAAAAAAACGACCTCACTATTCTGATGGGAGATCTTAATGCCAAAGTTGGAATAGACAACACCGGATATGAAGATATCATGGGACGACATGGACTAGGTGAGAGAGACGAAAATGGAGAAAGATTTGCAAATCTGTGTGCATTCCACGAATTGCTCATAGGAGGCACAATATTACCACACAAACGTATACACAAGGCTACATGGATCTCACCGGACCACACTACAGAGAACCAGATAGACCATATTTGCATCAATAAAAAAATTCTAAGAAGAAGAGCTGACATAGCTTTGGATCATCACTTGGTTGTGGCCAATTTAAAACTGAAGGTAAAGAAGCAATGGACAACTGGACAAACAGCAATACAAAGGTTCAATACTCCCTTCCTTCGAGATACTGACAAACTCAATGAATTCAAGATAGTTCTCAACAACAGGTTCCAAGTCTTACAGGATCTACTGAAAGAAGAAGAAACTACTATGGAGGACAACTGGAAAAGTATCAAAGAAGCATTAACTTCAACATGTCAAGAGGTTCTGGGTCTAAAGGAGCATCATAATAAGGGATGGATCTCTATAGAAACTCTGGACAAGATCAAAGAAAGGAAGAACAAGAAGGCAGCAATTAACAACAGCCGAACACGAGCAGAGAAGGTCCGAGCACAAGCTGAGTACATAGAAGCAAGCAAGCAAGTGAAGAGGAGCATTAGAGCCGACAGGAAGAATTGGCAAAGACGACGGAAAAAGCTTCAATAGAAGGAAATATGAAACAACTTTATGATACAACGAAGAAACTAGCAGGGAAGTACAATAAACCAGAGAGACCGGTCCAAGACAAAGAAGGCAAGACAATCACTGAAATTCAACAACAGCTGGGTAGAGTACTTCGAGGAACTCCTGAATAGGCCGGCTCCAATGAATCCATCGGACATCAAAGCTGCACACACATATCTTCCTATAGATGTCAATCCACCAACGACGGAAGAAATCAGAATGGCCATCAGACAAATCAAGAACGGGAAACCAGCAGGACCCGACAATATACCAGCTGAAGCACTGAAATCAGACATCGAAGCAACCACAAGCATGCTTTATCTTCTATTCAAAAAGATTTGAGAGGAGGAACAAGTGCTGATGGACTGGAAAGAAGGACACCTCGTCAAGATTCCAAAGAAAGGAGATCTGAGCAAATGTGAAAACTACAGAGGCATTACACTACTGTCAATACCAGGGAAAGTCTTCAATAGAGTGTTGCTGAACCGGATGAAGGATGCAGTAGACGCCCAACTTCGAGATCAACAAGCTGGATTCTGTAAGGATCGGTCGTGCACAGACCAAATTGCAACACTACGGATCATCGTCGAACAATCAATTGAGTGGAACTCGTCACTGTACATCAACTTCATTGATTATGAAAACGCATTTGACAGTATGGATAGGAGGACGTTATGGAGACTTCTTCGACATTACGGAGTTCCTGAGAAGATTGTCAATATTATCCGGAACTCATACGATGGACTACAGTGCAAGGTCGTGCATGGAGGACAGCTGACCGATGCATTTCAAGTAAGGACCGGAGTCAGACAAGGCTGTCTACTCTCTCTCTTCCTCTTTCTTTTGGTGGTCGACTGGACTATGAAGACCTCGACACGTGAGGGAAAACGCGGCATACAATGGACAGCTCAGGACCAGTTAGACGATTTGGACTTCACAGATGACCTGGCCCTTCTATCGCATACACACGAACAAATGCAGATGTGAACAACTAGTGTAGCATCAGTTTCTGCATCATACAGTAGCATACACAAGGGGAAAACCAAGGTCCTCAAATTCAAAGCGGAGAACAGCAATCCAATCACCCTTGATGGCGAAACTCTGGAAGATGTAGAATCCTTCACATACCTGGGAAGCATCATAGATGAACAAGGAGGCTCAGATGCAGACGTAAAGGCGAGGGCCGCATTCCTTCAGTTGAAGAACATATGCAACTCAAAACAACTTTCAACCAATATCAAAGTGAGAATTTTCAATACGAATGTCAAGGCAGTTCTACTGTAAGGAGCTGAAACTTGGAGAACTACCACAACCATCATCAAGAAGGTGCAAGTATTTATAAATAGCTGTCTACGCAAGATACTCAACATCCATTGGCTGGATACCATCAGCAACAGCTTTTTGTGGGAGAGAAGAAACCAGCTTCCAGCTGAAGAAAAAATTAGGAAAAGACGATGGAAATGGATAGGACATACACTACGCAAATCGTCAAACTGCATCACGAGGCAAGCCCCAACTTGGAATCCTGAAGGGAAGCGAAAAAGAGGAAGGCCAAAGAACACATTGCGTCGGATAATAGAAGCAGATATGAAAAGGATGAATAACAACTGGAAGGAGCTCGAAAGGATTGCCCAGGACAGGGTTGGATGGCGAATGCTGGTGAGCGGCCTATGTTCCTTCACGAGGAGTAACAGGCGTAAGTAAGTAAGTAAGTTAATTATGCACGTGGAAACTTAGATTGATGCCCATTTATTCCGGGTATTATCTTGTATCTGTCCCTGTATAACTACTGTTCAACAAGTAGTTATAAACCCACAACAGAACTGTTCTGTAAAATACATTTCGATCACGAGTATAATAAATACATATTTGTCAGTCCGAAAATTTATGTATTGTCTCATATATCTCTAAAACAGCAAAGATTATTCAGCTTAGTAGGTAGATAACCACATTGGGATAGCATGCTTCGATTCATTGAAATCAGTACGATTAAAGAATTTAGCTCAAAGAAATGTAACATTCTTTTTTCATACTTTCTGAACATCTATTAGTGATTAAACAATCAATGTTTAATTGACTTGTAAACATCCAATAAATTTTGCAATTTGTCCTTCATATTATTTACTAACTTGCTTACGGTTGTTACCCTCTTGAAACATAGGCCGAGGACCAGCGATCCCCAACTAACTCTGTCTTGAGCTATCCTTTGCAGCTCTTGCCAAGTTTTACTCATCCTCTTGATGTCGGCCTCGGAACTCTGGCACAATGTCTCCTTTGGTCAGCCTCTTTTCCCTTTCCCTTGAGGATTCCAAGTAGGAGCTTGCTTTGTGATGCAATTTGATTTCACAATGTGTGTCCTATTTATGCCCGGCTTCTTTTCATAATTTGCGCCTCACCTGGACGATGGTTTGTTCTCCGCCACAGTAGGTTGTTGCTGATGCTGTATGACCTACAGATCTGGAGCATCTTGTGTAGAAAACTGTTTAGGAAAGCCTGTACTGCTTTGATTATGATTGTAGTGGTTCTCCACGTTTCAGATATTCAAACTTGAACTGCCTTGACATTCGTATTGCAGACTCCAAATTGGGTGTTTGCTGATAAACAGTCGTTTTGAGTTCCAGGTATTCTTCAACTGTAGGAATACTATCTATGATTCACTAATCCGTTTCTCCGAATATGCATCAGATCCTCCTTGTTCATCAGTGATGATATAAAACTTTCCACCTCCGATCCGCTCTGTCAAATACTTTTTCATAGCCAAGGAAATCGATGTTCAGTGACAAATTCCATCTCATCGATTGTTCAACGATGATCCTTAAAGCCATGATTTGGTTGGCATATGATCGATAGTCAGTCTGTTGGCCTTGAAGTTCGGTGCATACTGAATCTTTCATCCGGTTGAGCAACCCTGTTGAAAACCCTTCTTGGTACCAGTAGTAGCGTGATACCTCTGAATTTTTCACACTTGCCCGGATCTCTTTTCTTTAGTATCTTCATGAGTTGTTTTTCTTTACAGTCTGTCTGTGGCATTTGTTCCTCCCTGCCAGTTTCTTCGTCGTGTCATATAGTTGTCTTATATTTCCTTCTGTTGGAGCTTTTTCCACCGTCTTTGCTAGCTGTTCCACATATTTCTGCTTGTCAGCTCTAATGCTCTTCTTCACTTGCTTGGTTGCTTCCGTGTATTCAGTTTGTGCCCTGGATTTCTCTGTTCTTGTTCGATTGTCGTTAACTTCTGCCTTCGTGTTCTTCCTTTCTGGAATCCAAAACAGGGTTTCCGTAAAGACGCATTCCTTTTGATGATGCTTCTTAAGGCCCACAACCTCTTGACATGTTGAAGTTAATGCTTCTTTGATACTTTTCCAGTTGTCCTCCATTGTAGTTTCTTCTTCCTTCAGTAGATCCTGTAAGGCTTGGAACCTGTTGTTGAGAGCTATGTTGAATTGGTTGAGTTTGTCAGTATGGGGAAGGAAGTATGTATTAAACCTTTGTAATGCTGTTTTCCCAGTTGTCCATCGCTTCTTTAGCTTCAGTTTAATCTTCGTGACTAGACTACAGTAGCATCTCTCCCGAATCTAACTTTTTCTGTTTAACTTGGGTTCAATGGGTTTCATTTATTCTAAGGACTACCAAATTGTATCTTCTCACTTTCCGGAGAATCTAGGCCTCCTCTAGCAAGCGCTATCACTCTTCTAAGTATAGAACCTCCAAATTTCGAGGAGAGTTTGAATGGTTAAAGTTCTTTTCTGTGGGATATAATCTCTAACCACAAGTTTAACCCGTTTCCTTTATCTGGGCTTGGGATAGGCAGAAACCCTAGAGGGCTCTAGGTGGAGTTTATCATTTATGTTTACACCATTATATATTGTTCATTTTGTAGCTTCTCCCCAGGCTATCACTAAACTGTATCATATTAAGTCCACGTGGACATCGGCAACTATATTTTGGAAGCCAGGTGGATATCATAGTTCATCAGTGAATATGTCATACCAAGATCTCTTAAACAATTCAGTCGATGGAATTCGAAACAAAATTCAAAATTCATTATCCATTTGGCTTAAAAACATTCAGGATATGCAACAATATTCTGTTACTTTGGAAGATCATGGAATTACTTCTTTTTTAACGAATGGAACCGAATCACATTTACTAGATCCTTCCGAGTCACTGAACAACTCAGATAACTTTAATGGTCCATTTTCAGTTCATTCAAGTGACACTGACTTATCAAATATCAAGGGGAGAAAGACCAACAAAAGAAAGATATTACAAAATGAATTTCTAATAAATACTGAAGGACAAAATTACATCAATATAAGCGGTAAGAAGGATCACCATTAAAGATTAATTAATTAATTCAGCTCACTGAAGACAATGGTTTACGGTGGCGCGATTTCGTGGATTGGTTGAAGTTAGACATTAACAGCGTTAGATACCGGCCGGCTCAGTGGTTCAATGGTTAAGCGCCCGCGGAAGACGGGATGGCGGACGCGCACTGTTGAGGAGTCCCACAATGGGACGAAACGGCCGTCCAGTGCTTCCAGGTTTTCTGTGGTGGTCTAGCTTCAAATGACTCATGATTTCAACTATTGAAATTAATTAATTAAATTCATTTTCTTTGTGTGTATAAAAGCGACTACCGGGATTTCCTTTAGGTCTATAACACTTTATAATTGTGGAATGATTGTGCTGTTCTGATATGAAAGGTTTTATTACGTACTCAATAACGGCAGCTGGCACATAACATGTCAACAGCGTGCTGCTAATACAGGATGAAAGAGTAGCAGCAACTAGATATTTGAACAGGACAGTTCAATATGGATACTAACATAAGCATGACCTTCAAACACAGAAAATAAACGAATTAAGAGTCATGGCAATTGATCAAAAAAGGCTGAGGGTCATGTGAAAAAGTAAATTATAAATAGGACTGACAGTTGACTTTACTAGTAAGAATTTAATACCATCAACTGATAAGTCTGCTCCCTGAACTCTACTTGTTTCTTATAACCACAGACCACTCCTATACTCGTAGTTGGAATATAAGCAGCTCAAAATAAGAGTAAAAGTTTCATTGTAAATTCTATTTACAAACATAGTTTTGTGTGAACTTGGTCTTCCAGAAGCTTCTACAAGCACACAACAACATGGGCAATTATCTAACAAAGATCCTTCATTTTTTTATATGCTTCTCAAAGGCATTTATTCAAATCTAATTCTATTAAACATTGAGTGGCTAATATCATATTCTCCTTATCCCTTATGAAATGAAGTGTATTTATATGACAGGTACTAGGAAAATTTAGTTTATCTGTTTCATTGTCAATGATTAAGATCCGAAATTTCACGGAATCATTATAGTTTTCTGGTTCTTTTGAGGAAAATTTCATTTCAAAACGATGAAAGATGTGGTCATACTAATGGTTACAACTTTTATTCATGTTATATCTAATATTTAATGAATAAAAAGAAAAACTGAGTTTTGTAGAACTTGATACGATAATTAATCTGTTCAACTGCTACAGATACTATCGGCCTACAAACATAGAAAGTAAATCAAACATAAATTTCAATAAGAATAAAGCTACATAATATCTGGTCACCAATTTTTTTTAAATTTTCTGGACCCTGTTGAGTTCAAGAACCAATGATTTCATGGTTCAAAACCCATGAACAAAGCTGATTCTTGGTCATCAACCGAGGTGGAGAACTACGAACTAAGTGAGATAAGGATTATCACGTTTAGTTAATTTTATATATGTGGTTATAACGGGCCAACTATTTTTCTCATGTTCATAATATTAGCCTTAAGCTTTTCTAATATCATGTTTTATTTTTTACTGAAGTTAGTATATCCGTCTATCACTTGTGAACTTAATTTGCATTAACTTTTATTTTGTTCCACGACATGTTACTTAATATTACTGAGTAGTTTGAGTATATTCATTTATTTATTTGTTGTGTCCTACAACGAAGTATTTGTCCAATCACTGTTTACCCCTAATTCCACATTTTATCTAATTCTTTCCCTTGCAATTATATTCGCACTTTTGTCTTTATTTGGTTTCCATGTTCACTATTTTTTTCTGAAACTACCTTTAATGGTCCTTTGGTTTTCGTGTCAGCCAGTGATGATACACACGCTTTATAAGTCTGCTGATTATATATATAACATGACACAGTTTTACTCCTATTTATACATGTAAAAAACTCAATAATCCTCTAATGCATTAACCGACGCTGCTATACTTCGAGGATTTCGAAATTTTAATGTCTCTCATAATAGCATAGAGTAGTCAGATAAGTTTACCCTTTCGATTTAGAAATCTATTCACTTTGTGAGAAGTCTTGGACACTGTCTACAATACTAAACGTTAAATCTTGAGTATTTTATGTTATCTATAGTTCTGTATTCTTAAGTCTACGGAAATAAATTTTCCTTTTTAGTCTCGAAATTTGTTCAATGTTTTTATGTTTATATAGATATGAGAATAATCAAGCATCTATTTTTACAACATATTTTAACATCAGGTTTAATGCCAAATCACCTTTATACCGTGACAATTTCAAGAATAAATAAACATGGAAAGAGTAAACCATCTAAGCCACTGGCTTTCAGAACAAAATGTAAGTTTCATGTACCACTGTTACATAAAAATGGTCGTATTGATAACGCATAGGAAAATTTTAGTGGGGCCATTTTATTTGTCGTCATTTAGATTGGACGATGTTCTCCAAAGGGCTCTCCACTTTAGTGGTTCGAGTTCTGACTTTAATTCGATCGTAATTAACGAATCCTCATTTATAATCATCCAATTAAATCACGTTAGTCAATAACGGAATTAAACAAGTCAAATAACCAGAATGGACTTGTGAATACATGTATTTCGTATATAAAGCGAATGGAATAAAGAGAAGAGAAACGATGCACAGTGGAGATGGCTGGTAAGCCAACTCCCCTTTAACCAAGCGTTAATCAGTATTGACAGTTACACAAAAGTAAGTTACATACATGTGATGAGTAGTGGGATAAGAAGTGTACACACACCAACGCACTCATATAAAAACAGTCAAGATTGATAAGCGGATAAATAACAAGGTCAGAATGTGCCTCAAGTAGAATGAATCGAATGGACTGTCGGAAAGCTAGAATGAGGTATATGGGTTTAACATAATAACCGACAGTACAAAATAAGGGTTAAACAAACGATTAAAAAACTGTATTGAAGACCTAAACTTGAGTGGATAAAATGCAGTTAGGTATATTAAGCTGTTAATACTATCCAATAAATGTTGTGTATTAAACGTTACTACTGGTTTTTAAGTCTTTAGACAATTCATATGTTCTATAATCGATAAAATTAGTATTATTTAATAGGCTATATCCTGACTTATTTTTGATTTTTCCATATCGAAATTACTGTTGAGAAACAGTAAACAAAGGAAAAATCTGGTAGTATCCATTTTAAATCGATTAGTTACGTTAATATAAATTTTCATGAGTATTTAAACAATTAGTTTCATAAAAATTGGGTGTGGCATAAAGATTTCAGTAATTGCAATTAATCTGTTCAAAGATAACAATACAAAGAACATACAATCTGATAAGATCGAATAATTACTATTAACTAGTAAGAAATTCAATTGCTCACATCTATACCATGTACAAAATTCGATAACTAGACTTAACTCTATAGTTTTCTAGCTTATAAATGTCCTCAAAAGTTTAATTTTGATGATTTTCATGAAGAAGTTCAGATCGAACCATGGCGTCAAACATTGAAATTATTTACTTTGGCTTCCAAGATCTTCATAAATGTAATTTTGTATCAAATTATTAGCTTTTGCTCAGCTAAGAATTTTTACTTGACTATTATTTCCATAACAAACAGAATAGTAACGATATACTAAATCATGTGGTTATTCCAATTTAGATTACTAACAAACTGTTAAGGCTTTAGTATAAAAGAAGTAACTGGCTTTTGAACAATCATAATACGAAGATCCACCACTGAATATTACATCGTGTTGACCGATTTACGTGTGGGTGGCAAATTTCACGTCCATCGAATCTTAAATACCACAGATTACTAGTGAAACAAAATAATGCCACTAGTCGTGAAAAAGTTCATACAGAAAGAATAAAAAAACTAAATATTTGAATTAGGTTGATGGGTTTTAAACAATCAGATAAAATCGCATGTAAAATCTATTTCATAGTTGTTGTGACAGTAATAACAACAAGAATAGGAAAGATGAATGTACAACTAAAGATAATAGGAAATGTCTTGTAAGACAGTGTGAATCATACAGATTGAGGAAGGAACAAAATTGGAGCTATGAATAAAACGACCATAATTTGTGCTAAGATAAACAAAGTGGTTGTATATATCTGTTATATTTCTTTGATTTGATACCAGTTGCTTCAGCTGTATGCAGTCAGTGTAGTATTGCGTCTGTTGGTAGACCATTTGGAGCTTGTATCTTGTATCTATAAAGTTGGAGAGAATGACACTAATTGTAAGTTTCGTAATGGCATTTCCTGGCCATACCGGAACGTGTTCACCAGCGCACAGATATGATGACCTTTGGATGCGACTTATGTAACTAGCCCACAAGAATAGCTATATTGGCAAACAAACACAGATGATACAATTACTGGCATTCTATCAATAATGTGCTGCTTTAGACCTGGCTTCGTTGAAAAAGTCAGTTGTTAATTAGCAGCATAACAAGTCGTTTTAAGATATCTGCTTAGTCGACATGTTAAAATCTCATCCTGTATCACCTTTTAAATAACGTATTAAATATAAATATTTTTTGAACTGTTAGGTCTAACTATTAATTGTTTTATTAAATTACTAGGTTCTTCATTTTGTAGTTTGTTTGACTCATTTTTTGTAATTTCTACAGAAGAAAAAGAGAAAACTTTCACCTACTAACCACATAAATCTTAGTTAGCAATAGTCTAAACAGACACTACCCATAAATACTCCCAACGTAATTCCTTTAGTTATAATTTGGTGATTACACTTGGTATAGTTGGTACTTAAAAGTAACAATTCTCTATAATATGTTAGATCTGACTGTCAACGAATGTTAGTCAGGAGAAATTACATTTCATAAGGTTCATTTGCATAAATTTTAGTTGCATTTGATTGATATATAGTAGTAATATATACATGATTTGTTCTGTATATTCCTACATTTCTCCCTTACAATCTAAGAATTATATTTCAGAATTTAATGTGAATAAATTGAGTTAATTATAAGTGTTCCTCTTATCTTTGCAACTATTTCAGAGTGTTGTTCCATATCATGACAATTCTAGTTGAAGACAATCATCAAGAAACCTTGTTTGACTTTAGTTTTCTACCAGTTGGCATACCACATTAGAGCCTATCTACATTCTTCCAAAGACCGCTTCTTGCTTGCAGAATGATTCTAAGGGCGACAAAATGTAACAAGATATTAAAACTTTATTATAAACGAAAATTAATTATGAATTATGCTCAGAAGGGGTTTTGTGCATAGTATCGAAATTTCAATGGTTCAGATAATGAGTCAATTGAAGCTAGACCATCATGGAAAACCTGAAAACACTAGACAGCCATTTCGTCCTATTGTGGGACTCCTCAGCAGTGCGCATCCACCATCCCGCCCCCCCCCCGCGAGATTCAAGTCCCATACTAGGACGAAACAGTCGTTCAGTGCTTCCAGGTTTTCCATGATGGTCTAACTTCAATTAACTCATGATTTCAACTATTAATTATGCCTTAATAACAATATATAAAAACAAAACATTGTATTCATTTTATCAAAACATTTAGATAATTCAATAACAAAGTGTTTCAATTTAATATATCTTTATATATATCACGTGATAGTCCAAGATTGTCCATTTCTAACTTACTAAATAACAGACAACCATATATATCTAGTCCATAATAGAATGATTTTTCTAACTGATAAACAATTTGAATTGTAAACATCAGTTGTCTTCTAAAACAAAATGAACAATTTACCAATGTTCTATTATGTTTTAAAATGAACAAAAGTATTTCTAAGTGTTAATGTTTATTTACCTGATTACCAGAGTAAATAATTAGAATTCATTTAAAGATAAATAAAGATCCTTCAAGAAAGTACCTTTTTTTGTTTAATTTAACGGTAATATTCGCTGAATATCGATGAATTCATTGTATTTCGTTACTTTCTCTTTAATTACATACAATCTAATATGTTTACTTATTTCCATAAGATACATATAATGTCGGAAGACGAATAGTTGTAGTATCGGTTATTATGTTAAACCCATATACCTCATTCTAGCTTTCCGACAGTCCATTCGATTCATTCTACTTGAGGCACATTCTGACCTTGTTATTTATCCGCTTATCAATCTTGACTGTTTTTATATGAGTGCGTTGGTGTGTGTACACTTCTTATCCCACTACTCATCACATGTATGTAACTTACTTTTGTGTAACTGTCAATACTGATTAACGCTTGGTTAAAGGGGAGTTGGCTTACCAGCCATCTCCACTGTGCATCGTTTCTCTTCTCTTTATTCCATTCGCTTTATATACGAAATACATGTATTCACAAGTCCATTCTGGTTATTTGACTTGTTTAATTCCGTTATTGACTAACGTGATTTAATTGGATGATTATAAACGAGGATTGGCGATAACAAACATTCATTACGATCGAATTAAAGTCAGATCTCGGGCCGCTAAATAGTCAAACAATAATGAGTTATTTATGTGTAATATGGAAGAAGCTGAGAATTAAGCATTTAAAGGGATTTTCTTTATAATTACCTAAGTTAATAGTTCTAGAATCTTAAAACGGTTTTATTACACAATATAACAAAAAAGGTCCAGGAATATAGATAAGACATGAGGATCTGTGAATTAACTATACTAGATGATGATCGCAATTACAATTACGTAACGGAATTGTTTCAATAATCTAAAACTATTATATGAAGGGTCACTTTAAAAGCTTAATTTTCAAATTCTTTCATACTGCACATAAATTATTCGTTATTGATATCATCAACACAAACCTGTCATTAATTGCCTTTATTGATTAATCAATAAACACAATGAAATCGATCCAATTTATCAACTAATCAAGAATCAAATCAATGGGAGATGAAATCAGAATGAAAAAAGTAAACAATGACAGGTTAAACGTCAATAATAAACAATCATGATCGAAGTCTACAGGACAAGCTGTGAGTCATATGTGGAGAAATTCGGACACTTCACTACTACTTGGAACTTGTGCTGATGATGTCGTTCAGAAGAACAATGAAAGCTCCACGACCAAACCATTCAGCTCAGAGAACAAAACTCCATCAAAATAGAAAATAAGTATATGAAGTAGTTTGATTTATATCTGAATGTCTTCTGTCATTTAAACCACCTTCGACAACTCCCCCTTAGCATTATTGTTGAGAATAACAGGTGATATTTAACCTTATGTTTTGCTCAGATTTGATGAACTAGGATAGACTGTTAACTGTCTTAATTATACTTTATTTGATCTCACGGAAATGTATTTACAAGCAAAGTGAACCAAATGTCTAGAACAACAGCAAGATAATTCCATGCCTAACTTGTTTGTCATTCAAAGGTATACGATAGTCGTTACTTTGAAACAAAATCAAACTTAACGAATAAAAACTTTGCATTATCAAACAAAAGCATAAAAATTCTATACGCTTGTCAGGATTATGATTCAAGCGTATGAATCAACAGATAATACTACTCGTACAGGGGATTTAACTAGAAATAAAATAAAGTTATCCCTATGTTTATAGAATCTTTATTGGTAAAGACAGTATTTTCTCAAAGCATTTGACTTTCGAAATTTGAAAAAATATAAGTGATTAATGCTTTAAATAGGAATAATTATAATTCGGAATTCAAATACATAAAATAACAATAGTAATAGTACGTATTCAGATGATATTTAAACTTATTACGAAAACTCGAGGTAGATTCTAACTCAACGAATCGGTTACATCTGATTCCCTAAACCAAGAGATTGTGTTATTATTAAAAAAGCAATGTCACTTAGATGAATCTTCAATCTATATGTTTCCCAGTAATACACAGCTGTAAAACTATAACAGGCTCAGTTAAGAAGGGAATTTGCCCTTCAAATAAGTGAATGTGAATAAATTTACAGTATGTTCAACAAACACCACATAACTTTGCTAAATGAGTAATAATAATTAATATAACCAATATTTTAATCAGCCTTTTCAGTATAAACAGTATATCGATAAGTAATACAGGTTTTATAGACCAAAAAGAAGAAATTATACAGAGGTTGAGGAAATGAACTGATACAATTGTTGCACATTAACGTTTCATTGCGTTCAGGATGCGTGTGAAATAATTCATAAAAGAAAATTGTTGAATGTAAAGTAGCTACTGACTATAATTAAGTAGCATGATTCAGCACACAAAATTGGTAGAGAGGAAAATAATGTTATGACTTTGCAGTCAGTTCAGTGCAGTTTTTCAATGAGCCGTTTGTAAAGCCAACAGATATTGAACACGTAGTTTATAAAGCCTAAATAGTAGCCTTTATTTTATTGTAGCTGTGTATCATCAAATGGTTAGAAAGTTGTAGTAATATTCCCTGCAACCACTTTTGTTTTTATCTCCATTACATAATTTTTTCTGGGATAGTTTTATTAATTTACCTATTGACGTCGTGTTATAAATGGGAAAGTTATTCGCTTCAACTAAACTTTTATGTAGGTAATGTGGACCATTTAGTTAAACGCGTTACAGATTCATATGAATGTCAAAAGAGTGACAATTCTCATATGAAAACAATTTTCATCTGAGCTCGTTTTCATATTATTTGTAACTGGTCACGTAATTTTTGCAGTGACCACGTTATCGTTATTTCAGGTAGCAAAATGTGCTAGCTACTGTGGAATCACCCTATATCTGCGGCCCTCCTCACAAGAGTTTATAAATTTTTAAATATACATTCCGTAAAGTGATTTCGCACTTATTTAGTTTTTATGCACATCAGTGTCGAACCCGGATAAACTTAGTTTATAAATTCAAAAAGACTATATCACTCTCTTAACTACCTTATAATAATTGCTATTAAACAAAATATTTATAATTTTACCAGAAATATCACATACATAGTATAATCTGGTACATAGGGATTTTAAAGTTCATTACAAATGCCGTATCTATTGAGTGTTCTTTGAATGTTTTGTCTTACTTTTTTTTCTAAAGTTCTTCACCTTGAACTTCCCGGTCCTATACATTTAGAGGAAACGAAAGAACTAATACAATTTTCCAAAGGTAATCCAGCTCTCTGTGCTCAAGTTGAAGTAGGTACCATCAATAATGATAGTAGTAGCAGTAGTAGTACGAGTACTACTACATGGAATTCAATACATTTTTCATCAAATTATTCACCTTATATCATTATAAATAAAAATATATTCCATTCTGAAACAAACAACCGATATATAGAGTTAAGTAATTGTAAACCATTATCATGGGATCACTATACAGAAATTCCAATCACATTACAAAATAAATTTCATTTTCGAGCAAGATATTGTATTTATGGATATAGCACAATGTGTACAGAATATATCAAACCGATCAAAGGTAAGATTGAATTTGAAAGTTTGATATTTCTGTTTTTGAAAAAAATTACCTTTAGAATATATTATGAAAAAGATATTCTTTTAGTTAAACTTAACATACAGTATTGGTTCAGAGTTCTGTTTGATAGTTTATCCATGACAATATTTACCTCATCCTACATGAGTGAAAAAAGTAAACTTATTAACAAACTGTATGCATTTTCACGAATTAAGACAAGATAAACATTCAGAATTAAAACGTGTGAACTAAGTAAACTGGTGCAATCTACTTTCTTCTACACTCATATGTAGCTTGCCAAATATGGTAACTACTTTAAATAACTTCAAGGCTGTTTAAACTTGGTAATTTGTACACGATCGTTTTAATGAAGATCAACGGATGATTCGTGCTAAAGTGTCCCGAAATAGAATGGACACATATTGACAGTACTACCTAATTTCCATTAGTTTTTCAGTTAATATCAATGTGGAAATAGAGTTACGTTAAAACCTAGTCATAATTTTTCACTTGGATGATAAACTTACTAAAGTAAGTGCCTTGAAAATTGTTGCTTCCAACATAAAATTTTAATAGTATTCCATCGATTTTCTTTTTTCATCTGGAAATAAATTCGCTTCAACAAAGATTTTGCTTTAATAGTTGAATTTATAAGTCAATTAAAGCTAGACCACCATGAGAAACCTAGAAGCACTAGACGGCCGTTTCATCCTAGTGTGGAACTCCTCAGCTGTGCGCATCTACGACCCCACCCCGCAAGATTCAAACCCAGGACCTATCGGTCTTGCGCGCGAACGCTTAACCCCTAAACCGCCGTTTATAGTACCATGCTACAACGTAATGTGCATGTTTGCTTATGTTATTGATTACCTGAAATGATATGATTTTGTGATCAATTGATGAATGATCACATAGCGTGAATTATGGACACTAAATCTCTACAAATTGAACAGATATCGATCGGCAATATAACTGGTCAACAAAAGTGAGTCAACACATCTAACAGAGTTGTTTAATAATACAAAACTTAAACTTGATTAAAATTATTTTAGACATATCATTGATTACATAATAGGAGTATTAGCTTAAATCTATGATGCGTACTCAATAATTTATGTCTACATATTCACGAAGAGATAGTACACTGTATAATTTTTTCGTTTAATGGTACAGTTAAGATGACCGAGTCAGTTGGGTAACATCAGAAAATGTTCACGTTTGTTAAGTTCATACATAGGTTCCTAAATTTCAACTAAATGAATTTTAGTAGGCAAAATCATTAACCAAGTAGCAAAGTATATGACCATATATTATGACAATTTGGTCATTATTCGTACATGAAATATTCAGACTATTAGTGAACTGTGAATTAACAAATCAATGAATAAGTATAGAAATAAAGGTTACAAAATAATTCATAATTATTTACTTCTTTAATGCATAAGAATATTTACCAAATGACTTATTCTTACTGTTTATTATACAAGCAAACAATGTTTGTTTCTAATTAAGGAAACAATAATGAAGTATTGAATTTAACAATATTCTTTATTGTTTACTCTTTGTGCTATCAAAAACAAATAATATCTGCATTATTAAACAGAAATATTTCTATTGAAGAATGTATTCAGGAGATTGTTGAGGTCTTACGATTTGCTTGTAGTACACGTGGCATTGGTAAATAAACCAACCAATTGTATTTTTAAATATCATTTCAAATAAATACAGATAGAAGTGGTGAGATCATATGAACACATTTAATTAATTACTACGGTATAATAGTTCGGTTGGTCAGTGTTGAATATGTTCACATGACAGTGTTTGGAATTCAAAGAAAGTTATATTTAGTTTCTCTTGAGATTATCATTGTTATCTACTATGGATTGAGTAGACTAAGTAGAAACATACAATTGTCAGCTAATCCTAAACGGAAATATGTTGAATCATCATATCAAACAAACTGCCATAAAGAGTTGTAGTTATATGAAAGAATGGATTTCTTTATAACTGTGACATTGACATTTCACGTTGTCTAATGAATAATACAGACGATTTAGATTGATATTTGAGTTGACAGAATGGTAGACGAATTCTGTGATGTGTTCAAGCTACCGACCACTTCCTTACAGCTACCGATAAACTTGTTCCCAGTTCAAACAAGATATTGTTTCATTAGATCAATGATTTTCCTAATGGTTAACACTGAAAATACATACTGGTTGGGACATGCATACCATTATGCAACTCGGAGAAAAGATTCAGATATTATTTATGACACAGAGTTTATTATCATAATCAAGGCTTGATATTGTTTAAATTATCAATGTTTTGTTTGATCACATAATGGAACACTTCAGTGGTGACAGCTGAGCATTTAAAGACAACCTTTGGTTTTTTGCTAACTAGATGGAGTCTAAGATAAATTCATCACTTCCAGCTAAATTCACGTATCTTATATGTGAGAACACATAATTAGCACATTTGTTGTGATATCGCACTTCTGACTAGCTCTAAAACTCTAGCTCTGATGATGTTCATTTTGCTTGAATTGATCGATGAGAACCAGGACTATCGAACATTGTCCACGACATATTTATTTGAATTAATAGTAATAATCATGCAAAAACTGACGATTATTTCAAGAATGAACAAATTAACTATCCATTAGTTTCAATATTTCATGTCGTTTTCAAATGAAGCAGGCCTAGAACTACCGTAATACCCCTTGAAATTGTGTATAATTGTTCGGTCTTTCAGTTCGAGTTTTAGCTCTATCAAAACCTTTTCAGGAAAGTTAAAGTATCAATCGTACAACATCTCAAATATCTCAATTTCCATGTGAAAGTTTTTTTATAAGATGCAGCTAAATAATAATATAAAGTTAGGAATAACTAGACACCTCTCTTGTCCTTGACAGTAAATAATCTTTGCCGAAAACAAAGTTTATGTACACATAGTTAAATATTTACTTAGTAATTTTAATCAATATTCATTCGACATCATTAGAAAGTCAGAGCTTTAACCACTACATCGTCATTTCCTCGATAATTTGTAACTAAGTTGCTGTACAGTTTGAAGATTATAACCCTTGGCAACAGGGCTTCACAGTGATTTACCCATTAGCTAGAAATAATCAGTTCCTAATGGTAAGGAGTTTCTTTAACGGATGAATTGATTTTTTTTAGAAATCACTTTATCATATTATTTCTTGACAGCATCAAAAAACCATTCCTATTCTATTTAATATCAATTTTTCGAAAACATAATGATAAAAATCTGACGATTAGTGTTTTTCACAGATTGAAATCGTGAGTCGATTAAAGCTAGACCACCAAGGAAAACCTGGAAGCACTGGACAGCCGTTTCGTTCTAGTGCGGGACTCCTCAGCAGTGCTCATCCACGTTGTGAGATATCAGCTCACTGATGACAGTGTTATACGGTAGCGTAACTTCGTGGATTGGTTGAAGTTAGACATTAACACCGTTGGATGTTGGCCGGCTCAGTGGTCTAGTTGGTTAAGCGCTTGGCGCGAGACTGATAGGTCCTGAGTTCGGATCTCGTCGGGTGCGAGATCGTGGGTGCGCACTGCTGAGGTGTCCCATACTAGGACGAAACGGCCGTCCAGTGGTTCCAGGTTTTCCATGGTGGTCTAGCTTCAATTGACTCATGATTTCGATCTGTAAAATTTCTTCTGATTAGTGTTTTTATTACTGAAATAGCTGAATACATCTTGAAATTATAATCTCTGTTGATTTATTTATTTATTTATTTTTTGGACTTTTTTGTTTTTCGTAACAGATATTTCAATGCACATAGTCATTGTAGCTGCTCTACTGTGTATTACATTAGTAGTATCATTAAGTAGTATGTTTGTTTATCTTATATGCAAGCATATGAAAAAAGATTACATTTAGTTGATAACAATAATATCAAAATAAATCAAATCATCAACCTAATCACCATCCAACGTTTATATAATAATCAACATAGTATTTATCATAAAACTGAATGAATATCATTACTGCTTATGAACTTATTAAATTTCAAGCATTTGCTGGTTTAATACAATTGGCTAATTAACTTGACCAGTTTATTTTAGTATTGATGAATGTGATACGAAATTGGACAACTTATACAATAAACTAATGACTTCCTAGCAAATCAGTTTACTATGAATTACGGTTGAAGGTTGAAAAATATTCCATTCCTTTTGTGTAAAAAAAATATTAATCGTCTTCAATTGTTTTTTTTTGTTTTGTTTTGTATCTTAACACAGAACGTCTTGTATTTATTACCTTTAATTTCATTAGCAATATTGATGTCATTTCAACGCGAGCTAATTAGAGATTATGTTGTTAATTTGATATGATTTCATATTAAAAACATTTGCTGATGTCGACTGTTTGTTGTAGTTAAATGAAATGACTTAAATAGTGGGGTTTTAACAACATTTAGTAGAAAAAAATATATTCAAAATCAAGGGAAATCATTTTTCAACAGTTGAGATCATGAGTCAGTTGAAGTTAGACCACCATGGAAAACCTGGAAACACTGGACGGCAGTTTCGTCTCATTGTGGAACTCCTCAGCAGTGCATATCCACTACCCCGGCTAGCGGGATTCGAACCCAGGACGTATCAGTCTCGCGCCAGGCAAGTGTAGCTAGAACAAACAATTTGCAGTATAAAATGAATTTAATTGAGTTTGGTTCCTTTTTTGCTTCAAAACGAGCTAAGAAATTTATTACCATTATTCTGTACAAAAATGGTTCAATTCTAACTCGATGAACAGTAATTGAGATAAACTGATGGATTTTGGCATAAAACTAAAATGATGGAATAACTGAATGAGGGGTATTTAAGGAAGAAACATAGACTGTGGGATAATTAAATTGTCTTCTTAGCTTCAGTAAACGGAATACACCCATTAAGAAATTAAGTAAGAATGATTAGCTCAGCGAAGAATCCTCTTTTCGGTGAATTCATTTTCAAAGCAGTACAATCGCAAATATATATACTTTTTTGAAGGATGATAATAATACTGATAATAAACTTCTGTTAGACATGGTGATAGTGAGGTAAAATAAACAAAGGTATTAAAAATTTCTTTGTTTTATAAAACAAGGAAAGTTTAATTGTTAATGGCTTAAGTATTCATCAAAAACAGATAGGGAAAATTATCAACGGGAAAGGATGGCTCAGTATGATAAGATAAAATGGTGAAATTGAGAATACATGTAATCAGAATGATCGTGGAAACAAAATAAACTAGTTGGGGGTAGAGGATTTAAGGGGAAGAATGGGAGGTGAACCAGATGGCTGTAAAGGAAGGAGAGTATGAGAAGGAGAATATATAAGACATTAGGACCGTGGTTGAAAAATAGGTTGTACCAGCCGTTTTTGCACACACAATTTTGGTTCTTCCAGATGTATAGCTAATGCTTCGGCAACGCAGAGAAGATGCAGCCTAATATTCTTTGGAAGACTTCTACTTACCTTGTAGATGACTTTGAACGCAGAGTCTGTCTTGATTGAGTGACCTATGTTCACGAGATGTTCGATTACTGAACCTCTTATTGAGCCGTTGCCTCTTCTTTCTAGTCACGCCTGACAATGTTCTTGAATTCTTTTGGATAGCTTCAGTCGATGCTTAGTTGAAACTCTACTAATAAGAGCTAAAAAGTTGTGTTTAACCTAACAAATAAGAGGAACTCGTAAACGTTGAAAACTATGTTCCTAAAAATTGAGTAAAAATTTAATATAAAACATGGAGATTTCCCCAAAACTCATGACACTCGGTCGATAGGAAAACCTGTCTTGATTCATCTTTCATTCAAAGGGATAATATTTGAGGTAGTATCCTAAAAGAACTAAGGCGGTATTAAAAGAAGCTTCCTTGCTGTTCAACCAGTTCTTCCGTATAATTCTAAATAGTACTTAAACTGATCAAACGTAGGACATTACTCTTCGAGGTCACCTCCAATTGTATTTATAAATTTATATTTATTTTTGATAGCTATACAAAAAGGAATGAGAGGATGCTATTCACATGGTTCTTTGGACTTACACCTCGAAAATTATGTCTGGAAGTGGGTAATATACTGGGAGCGAACAAGAAGCTAGTATCGCAAATGCGTTCAAATAACCAAAAAGTAGTAAACAGTTCTTCCACTAAGCTATGTAGAAGTAAATGACATCAAGTTCATTCGACCTGATCCATTTACATAGAAAGAAGGTATGATAAATCTCTCATTACCACAGTAAAATATCCTACTACACGACACTTTTTACCCAAGATTTTCCAAACAATGCACTGACACTCAAAACAACTAGTCCTTCTGATTGGTTTATTATCCAGAGTTGTGATTATCCAACTGTTTATTACAATATTTTCTTAATTATCATTGTTTCCTCTCTTCTTCCATTTGTCTAGCTGAACTTTAACTTTACATATATAAATGTACTCAGCAAGTATACATGTGATCAGACTGTTCGAAATACATTACATTAATGTACCATAGTTGTCATAATCTTCATCTGTTTACTATATTAGCCACTGACATTCACATATGACATCAATTTCATGTCAACTACGTTGCTCATTTGCATTATTAGTTGTTGATTAGTTTTTACTCATTGTGTAAACTAGAATTTACGACATAACTTTCTTCTTTATGATTTCATTTTTAAAATAAACTTAAGCATCAACCTGAACTACTTATTGTTCCTAAGACTTTTTCCCCTTTTCAAATATCAATGTAAACTGTAATGGCTAAAGTTTGTTAAACTGTGCTAATTATAATATTATGACTTGTAATTTTAAGCTGTTTACAATTGATGCAAAGCTTTAGAGTAGAATGGATTCATTTTACTTTGTAAATTTTCTAATTCTTGTTGTGTTTTTTTTAATTTATCAAAAACAAGGAACAATTTGTACAAAATTATAGTGTTGAATAGTATTGACAAACTAACTCAACAATATTAGAATAGCAACAGGTGCACATTTAGTTCATTAAAGAATCATAAGACTTCTTAGTTCTTTCATGAATGCTGATAAACACTAAGCATGACTTTAATGTTTCTTTTTGTTAGGTTACACATATCTTTTATGCAGAATGTAATACATTATGATTTCAAATTGTATTTTATCTTTCAAATAATATAGGTTTTTCAACAGCTGGACATAATAAGGTTGTAAATTAACAAAGGATGTTTATATGTGGTAAAGTAAAGTAAATAAAATACAATTCGAGCGTTTCTATTTAAAAGTATGATGCTTTACAAATGATGGTAATTATATGTGATCAATCTCTAAATCATATCAGAAAGGTTTTGTGGATTTTATAGCGATTTCAATAGTTGAGATCATGAGTCAATTGAAGCTAGACCACCATGGAAAACCTAAAAGCACTGGACGGCCGTTCCGGCCTTTTGTGGGACTCCTCGGCAGTGCGCATCCAAGATCCCGCCCACGGAATTCGAACCCAGGGCCTTCAGTCTCGCGTGCAAGCGCTTAACCACTAGACCACCGCCGGCATCCAACGGTATTAATGTCTAACTTTAATCTCTAAATTACGAAAATACAAGTTTTACCTAGAAATAAGCTGGAAATTCAACTTTCATTCTGATATATTCCGCCTTTTTTCATGTAATAAATGAAGAAGAAAATCAATTATAATAATATCATCTTAAATGCTAGATGTGTTAACTGATATATGATATAATAAAAATGAATTTATTACGACGAATAAGACAAAAGCACCAATAACAAAATAAATTCTGTTGTGTTTCTATTTGCTTCTAAATACTAAGTAACCATGTGATCTAAACTTGGTCATTCAAGATTTAGACAAAATTAGAATGTACTTTGCACACTAGTTGTATACATCTTTGGTCAAGTCAGATAAGGTCAACAATTATTGATTTATGATTTCTTGAAAGTTCGATACTTTTCACTGATAATCTTTTTTCGAATTAATTTATTAATATACGAAATGATTTAACATTAGGGTGTAATTATCAGGATGCCTTTTTATCCTGTTGGTAAACTAGATAGATTCTGACAGTTAAATGTCAGGAACTGAGGATACTGGATATTCTTCAAATGTCATAAATTTCGTTTCTTATGTGCGATTTTGCGTCCTCTAGCTTAAATATTCACAATTTTCTAGATTTATCAGTTTTTAAATAAGAAAGAAAGATTAGTTCAGCGAAGAGTTCTCTTTTCGGCGAATTCATTTTCAAAGCTGTACAATCGCAAATATATATACTTATTTTTACAGGGTGATAATAATACTGATAATAAACTTGTGATATACATGGTGACAGTGAAGTTAATCAATTTTTATTCAACAGCTTCAAGATTCAAGGATTTTAATGACTGAATTTTCTGTCTGAATATTCTTTATTTGTGACTGGCACTTTAATGAGCTGTAAACTGATCAAAATATGTGCAGACGGGAATATTCCAGGACCTACATTGAAGAAATGAACCAGTTCTAAGGACCCGAATTTTTATTTTCGAAAGATCAATGAAATAAAACCTGTTACAAAGGATTACCAATTTTTTCGCCAAAATTCAAAACTGTAGCATTTAGCAGGAAACTGTATAAGCTTAGATAAAAGAACTCACTATTAATTGAGCTTCAGTCATGTTTCAGACACGAAATATATTACTCGACAACTGGTCAAGACTTTTTCATAATGCTAGCAATTCATTAGTCAGTCTTCATTATCTAAACCGTAGCCAATTAAATCATTCAAAATGGAAAGTTGGTTTATCAATAATCAGAAAGTTAAAACTCAATTAAGTAAGCATTCTCGTGCTTTTTAAAGTAATAAATTAAAGTTTTAGAAAGTATTGTTTACTGAATGTACATCTATCGTTTTTCATCTTTCATTATTTCTATATCAACTAACTAAACTAACATTAGACCTATGACATGAAAATGCATCTAAAGGTACTTGCCGTACATCTGGAGGTGCATTTGATTGCATTTCTTCTTGGCCCAACACCATACTTTCAGTGATCTTATTGCGCTTGCCAGGCATTCCTATATTTGTCACCTGTGATTGCGGTTCGTTTGAAAACTAATTGTTTTAAATATAAATAACATTAATTCACAACACAACAAAAATTTATATTACAATCGGAACTTAGATTATGTTCATATGAACTGTATAAATTAAAATAAAACGTTACATAATGTAATTCATTTACCTAGTACAAGTTTATGAATTCGACTTTGAGCAACACTGTTTGTATCTAAGGATCAGTGATTTAACCTGACTAACCAAAGCTAAATGAATCAAACGATGTTTACAATTTAAATCTATCGGTTGAAAACTGAATACTTTAACAATGAAACTATTCACGAAATTGCGCCACCGTACATTATTAT